CACTGAAACTTTCGCTTTCGCGCACTCCAAATCACTTTTTCGGAATACTTTATGTCATTCTAAAGCTTAATGATTTGTGCACATTGTTCTGAAAACCGTTTGCGCGCGCAACATACGGTTGCCGAGATATGGCGTACTAAAATGGGCGAAAAGTTTAATGGATTGTTGTGCATCAAATGTCTGGTTTTTTCAGGATCTCCATGTGATTTATTAATTTTCTTAGCTTTACAATTCACTTTACAATTCACAAAAGAAACATCACATCCTAATATTAACAAACAGCAGAAACATGCGGCCGGATTACGGAGAACATTTGATCTAAATGTCTGATTATTACCCGATGTTCTTGATAATTTGCTTCAAAAGACACATGAAGTGGAAAGTGAACCAACTTCAGGTTCGTAGCATTTTCCCATAATATTAAAATGGATTTTAAAGTTTTTGAAATTTATTTTAAAATCGGAAAAAAATGCCATGTATCTAAAATTGGTTCCCTTTCGACCTCATGGCCATGTGTCTTTTCCAGCAAAGTATCAAGAAGATCGGGTAATAATCATACGTACTTTTACACAACAATCCATTTAAACTTTTCATAAGTTTTAGTACGCCATATCCCGGCAACCGGATGTTGCGCGCGCAAACGGTTTTCAGAACAATGTATACCATATAAATATAAATCATCTACGCGTAGCATTAGAATGATACAAGTATCGGTCGCGCTAGCGCGCGACCAGTTGTGTTTGAGGCATGGAAGAATGAAAGAAACTACAAAATACACTTCGTAGAGCAATAAAATAGATTTTGAATAATATTTCAAATGTAAAACCCCAGCGAGGCCAGCTGCGAAAATATTTTAAACATGTAGCGGACAGTTTTCAAGCTTTCCGTTAAATTCGACCAGTTTTATAAAATTGTGAAAATTTGTAATTTTTTTGTTTGTTTTTTTCACGTTCTTAATGTAACTTTATATTGCCGATCTAGCCAACCCGAAACTTAAAATTTTTGGTACGAAAGATAACATTTAAACAGTGATAAAAAGGATGGAGTGGGATCATTTATACGATGCCCATAAAAACCATTCAGACGATATTTCAGCGCAGAATTAATGGAAACTTGTGGGAAACAATTAACACTTGCTCAAGGTGACCTCGCAGGCTACATCTTCAGCTGCTAATTGCATGTAGTATACTCCGTCTGCTATAATAAGAGTTTTAGCCATTCAGTCAAGCTCTACAGTAATTAGTAAAATAAAATAAATACATATTTATTACATTTAGAGGTTCGTGAATACCTAAGCTACCACCAGTATCACAGAGCCGCTAGGTGACTGAATACGGGACCGCGAGCCGGCTTTTAGATATTTAGAAATTAGATATATAATTGATACTTTAAACCGTGAGATACTGAGGTACTCAGTTTCCAGATATTTTTATAATTTCGAAACTCTGGAGGCTAAATAGTTAGAGGTAACGGCCCCGCTGCGCGGGGCCGAGTCGAAATATTTAGAAATATTCAGAAATTCTGGAAATGTAAAATCTTTGGAGCCGCCTTTGGAAAGATTTAAAGTTATTCTGAGGTTTTCAAACGGATTAAAAACATTTTAAAGGTTTCAAGAATTTAAAAAAATAAATTATAAGTCTGATGTAATTTAGATAGCTATTGTTTAGGTTGCTAAGCTGCGAAAGTTTTATTTGCTCATTCGAGACGTTTCCAGAATTTACTGGAAAGTTCTGTGTACTTCAAACGTTAAGTACTGAAAGGTTTAAACATTTTTAGAAAAGTTCTGGAAACCAAAAGGTTTTTTTCGAACAACAGGTAGGAAACTTTGAAAGACGCCGGATTTTATAAAAATATCAAAAATATCACAAACTGAATGTCGAATAGGGAGATAATTTCCAAAAATACTGACGTAGGGACGTACTTAAAACGCTAAGTACTGAAAGTTTGAAACGTTTTTAGAAAAGTTCTGGAAACCAAAAGGTTTTTTTCCAGATTACAGGTAGGAAACTTTGAAAGACGCCGGATTTTATAAAAATATCAAAAGTATCACAAACTGAATGTCGAATTAGGAGATAATTTCCAAAAAATAGGGACGTAGGGATATATGAATCTATTGATAAAGTATTACAAAAAAGTGATTCGGAGTGCGCGAAAGCGAAAGTTTTAGTTTATGTACAGTATCCCATTTTTGACGCTATGTACCGGGCCATTTTCCTTAAATGATTATTATTGTGTACTGTATTTTCACGAGTTTAAGGAACACGAAAATACCCTAGGTCTGCTTGCAGCCACCCGGGGCCTGAAGCTACGTTCAAACTGGTTCACTGACAATGCATTCTGCAACTCAGTATCTGCAGAATTGAGAATACCACGTAAATACTCGGACTGATTCAGACAGTCTAGAGGATGCGCAGCGTCAAAACGCGGACTTACATGGAGCATCTGCGACTTACATCGAAACGAGAAATAGGCGTACCAAGTCCCAATTGGCTGGACTTCGATGTAAGTCGATTTTTGCTCGATGTCTGTCGGTGGGCGTCGACGAAAACCGTTACGAAGATGGGCGTACCTTGTAACGGGTCTAAGCTACGCCCAGCTACTTACAAACTTTGCGTTCCCGCGGTTTTGATTCGTGGGTCACCATTCTGAGTTAGATCGAAGCTGCCCACCGCCAATAGCAAAATTCAAAACCACGTGATCGCTTCTCTATACTTTGAGCTTACGGCGACGGTTAAACGATAAAATCATAGGGTTTTATATCTTTTTTGAGTTTTCGGTTCTTGCCTTGTTTGTTTTTGCACTCCAAAGTGTAAAAACCGATAATCTTTTTTGCATTACTGGTGTATCTATATTGCAGGATGCTGCATTCTGGGAATCCAGATTAGACTGCGCAAGATTAGTCTTTGGCCGGGTGCGCCTCCGTTTACTGATTACTTGTTGCCTGATTATTGCTCAGATTACTTTTGATCCCATTGACTAGCGTATTGCAAATTGATTCCGATTTGCCAAAAGGTTCACAGATCCTTGTGGCTGTCTTTAACAATTTGTGGTATACTCGTCATGTATTACTGCCGTCATATCACAGGGAACCCTGCGCGCTGGCTACCCAGCTGCTGGTGCTGTTTACAGTTCACCCAGTTCTGTGCTTAATTTTTAATCTAATTCAGTGCCCCACTACGATTAATACTGCTGGACAGCCTTCCATGGTAAGTCAGAAATTGATTTATAATGGCATAGGTCAATTGCTCTGTGTAAGCATTACGCGACGCGCAAGCGGCAGTCGGGTAAAAAAACATGACGTCACGGCGCGTAAGCAGGTAAACGATTTGATTGGTAAACCAGAATTCTGGGATGGGTTTTCAGCTTACCCGTCCGCGTAACCGTTGCGCTTCGACGTCGAAGCGCAACCGTTACCCAAACTACGAGTAATTCGTAACTCTCCTGCCCAGATCAACAAAATTTTTTGTTTTTTGAACCAAAAGTGCATCCAGCGACCCAGATTGACACTTCTAAACTCAGAATCAACTTTTTTGACGTTTTACCGCATTAAAGCATCAAAAACAGATTTTTCAGTTCCACTTCAGTTTTTCCGTTGTTCAATTTCTTTCTTGGCACGGAAGCGTACTCGCCTTACGATTGGACGATATTTTTTTCGCTGAGTCATGGACAGATTTTTACCCGTTTCTCCGTTACCCGACGCGCATCGGTTACCCAAATGCAATTGACCTATACCAATATCATGTTAGTTCATCGAAGTATGAGTTGGCATAATTTGTTGGTCGCATACACTTATTTCCGATTTTTCGTCTGTATTTTATGAAAAAAATTGTATACTTGCTTAACCATGTGGCGGGTTCCCGCTTTTATCTGGTTACCCAGAAGAAATATTAAATAATTATTAACCGCAGCCTTTTTATTTATTTATCTAAAAACAATAATGCATAGCAATTCCCAAGCGCACCTTGTTTTAATGCTTTTTAACAGGTTATATGGCATTTAACTTGTTGTAATATTCAGAAAAGTTGTAATACAATGTAGAAGCATAATATATCTGCACGCATACTGTCAGTCTGTATGTCATGACAGTTGTGCGCATGCGGTCGAGTTTAGCCCGTACATACATACATGCAAGACGAGTAAACGGGCGCGGTTTTGCGTTCGATGTCTGTATGTCAAGGGTAAAAAACGTTGTAAGTAAGTCCCCGTTTTGACTCTGCGCATCCTTTCTAGTCTTCAAATACGGTCTTACCTCGTCAAAATTAGGAATCCGAACAAGGAAAAAAATTAAACTAAATGACACAGCCCAAGCCTAACGAAGCCTGCAGAAATACAGATTTACGATGCGATGTTGCCCCTCAGGGGCGCCCCCTTGCCAGGGGCAGGCCCTGCCACATACAAGCCAGATCCATTTCTGGGCCAAAAATCAAAGCAAATTTGGCCATAATAAAATAATAATGGATACCCCGAAAAAAACAGTAGTGTGCTTCTGTGAATTGTGAAATAGTGCCCCGTAATGAGCAGCAGTAAATTTAAAACTGATGTAAAATGCAATTGTTGATTTTAGAGCTCACTCAGCTCAGTGAACAGCTTTGAACATAGCTGCAGGCCCCGGGTGGCTGCGAGCAGACCTAGGGTATTTTCGTGTTCCTTAAACTCGTGAAAATACAGTACCAAAAGTCTGGTTTTTACTCGATCTTCTTGAAACTTTTCTGTAAAAGAGACATGGTCATAAATTCGAAAGGGAGCCAATATGAGGTTCATAGCGCTTTCCCCTAATTAGTTCCGCCTTTTTTTTTCAAATTCATATCCGTGCTTATGATAACTTACCTGTACGAATTATACCGTATACGTAATTCTGTACATACGTCATACACCATACAGCACGGAACTGGTCGTATGCCAGTCAGCATCGCATCCGACTGGCAAATTGAGCAAAATCGGAATTTCGTTAAGGCTCAGGGTACTAGTATTATTATATCGAGGATATAAATATTTTGAAGAATTTCGGATGCCAAACCAACACTCACCATGCTCGCGACACAATGATCCTTACTTTCATCCACGGTAGACAGACATAACGAAAGAACAGTTACTTTTGCAATGTGTAAGGCATCAAAGATGTCAAGCGAGGAAAACCCGTCAGTTTTTGAATGCAGTAATAATTTTATGTTCTGATTGAAAAAAAGAACTCTGGATTCCAGATTTTCAATGAGGAGCTTGCACTGCACGAGAAATGCAACGTCTGCATTTAATATCGCTTGCTTTCAGTGTGCCAAGGCCAGCCAGGCTGTACGTAGTATAAGCTCCTTGCGAAGCTATACAGGCTAGCTACTGTATCGTAAGCTTTCTGAGCTGATCCGGAGGCGGAGAAAGGGAACAGAGAGAACGCCTATGTTAAGCTACCGTAGAGAAATTTTCTCGCTCGAATAAATGGTTTTGGTACTTTAAACAGTAGGCTTTAAACAATAGACTATTGGTACTAGTACTTTAAACACTAAGTTTAAATATATGCTATAAGTATACCTCATCACCTGTAGAATTTCGTTTTCTTTCTGCGCCTCCGCCCGCGCCAGCGCCCAAGTATTAACATTGAGGATGTGCTACAAGCTACACAGACCCCACAAGCATCCGTTTCTACGCCAGCTCCTGTCAAACGATCTCCTCTCGGCGCCACCGTGAAGCGTAAGTGCAGTCGGGCTTTTCTTTGATTTTTTTCACACATTTCTGTATATCCAACAGATGTCAGCCTGGGCAAAAAGTTGAACGGACGCAAACGTCCAGTTTCCTCCCATCGTGTATCTGCGGCCAAACGTAAAGCGGCTAACGATCAAAATCAGGAATGGATTGAAGCGGAAGATTTTCAAGCACTTTGCCGCAGCAGTAATATTCCGCAAGGTTAGTAAAAAAAACTAGATTAGTGAGATTTAAATCTTCCTGTGTTGCATACTTGAAATTCTGCATTACTGTAGACGTGCATGACTGGTCAGCAAGCAATGTGGGGACTTGGCTGGGCTGGGCCGTGAAGAATTTCAGTCTGCCGGACATCAATATGCGTTTATTTTCGGAAATGGATGGGAACGCTGTCTGCTCATTGGGACGTGATATGTTTCGGCAGTTGGTCGGTCGGGATGACCGCGATCTCTTTTGGACGCATCTGGAAATTTTGCGCTCAAAAAATTACGCAGGTATATAACCAAATCACAAATCGTAGTCCTCACCTGGAAATCGATAGATTTGTAATGCAATTTTTTTTGCAGAAATTCCTGTGTATAGCGTTGTTCCGGCAGTTCCTGACGCTGAGCTGAGCAGTGAGTAAAAGCAGGATAAAATATTTTATGGGGAATAGTTGTGTAACGCGTTGATCTGCAGGTCCGAAGGCTCGTGTACGATTGCCCAACAAATCACCCAGCGCCACTGGATCTCCATTTGCCAAAGATTCGGGTAATGTTCAGTTGTGGACATTCCTGTTGGAACTGCTGATGAGTGGTCAGCACGCCAATGCTTTGGAATGGACCAGTAGTGATGGAGAGTTTCGGTTATTGGATCCGGAACGTGTGGCGGAATTGTGGGGTCTGCGAAAGAACAAGCCCAGCATGAATTACGAGAAAATGAGTCGTGCTTTACGGTAGGTGATGAGAGCAACTGCGTTTTTCTGGTTCTTTTACACTTAACCTACTATTTGTTATCGCTGTAGATATTATTACGACGGGAATATTCTGGCCAAGGTTCAAGGGAAACACTTCACCTACAAATTCCTCAACAACTTGTCGGAGCATGCTAATGTTAACAAGCGCATCAGTGATCCGGCGGTACAGAATCTGCCGTTGAATCTTTCGCCGCGAGCCAGTAATCCGTCCTCGCCCATGACGCCGGCGTCGCTGCGCAGCGAATCGGAACTGAGTGTGGAAGTGCCGCTGCCGCAGGAGCGTAAATCCATTGGAACGGCTCTCGATCTGCGACGTCTCAGTAGCCATAGCCTGTCGCAGGTCGCTGCCTGATTCGGGATGTCTTTTTGAGTTTTGTTGATGTTTCGTATCGTTTATGGCCATATTTGCCCGTCCATTCCACAGAGACAGGATCGATACGCACTATTTTTGTTCTTACGCCCGATTTCAGTTTTGGTATCTGTACAGTATGCCTGCTAGCTTGTTGATTTTTTGTTACTGACCATTGGACTTAGATTTCTGAATTATGTTAAATTTGGGTCGGCTGGTCGGTGTTTGGTACGATATTTTAAATGCTAGCAGTATTCTGATGTTTTTCGATGGAAGCGAGATGTTTTTCGATGTTGGCAAAAGCTCTGTTTTGACGATGCATATTTTGTGACTGGATACGCATGCACTGCTCTGAAATCTCACGAGGAATAATACGAACAGACTACATAAGTTTCGCGATAATACGAGTGCAAGTTCCGCTTCGCTCTAGTTACCATTAATTTGTTGAACAACAGCGAACGAGTAACATCATCCATAACAAGCAGTAAACGATAAACAATTTACGTAGACACAATTTTGAGCACAAACAACAAGAGAACCTTTTTTTCTTGGTTAAAAACAATTCAAATCAACGAAGAAAACCTCTAGAAAGGCTTGTGAAGCGCAGGGCGTTTCATTGTTGAGGCTTCTGCCCAAAAGTATTCATGGAAAGCATCCACGAGACCGTATCACACAGAGCCGTCATTTCAAAGTGCCTAGAACAGCATTTTCTCGATAGTCTTAACTCTTAAGAGTCGAAGTACGTAAAGCACCCGCTGTTATTTACTTAACGGCATGCACATACCTGCTGATATTCTCCAGTATCCTCAACTTATCCAGAAAGGACTCCCGTGTTACCGTATTCCGAAACTGTCCAGCGCAGGCGCAAGTCTTCGACACATGGCGATCAAAGATCTAACAAGAATGCATAAGTTTTAAAGTTACCAGCAAAGTTTATATTTCCCGGAGGACATCAAGGTTAACCTGTCGGCATTTCGAGCAGACCAAATCTTGCAAGTGGTAAGCAACGTTCATCTTCTTAAGAGCTACAAAAAGGCGCTGCTGTATCTCTTCCCGAGAATAAGGACGCCCGCAATCTGCATTGGCGCAAACCCAAAACGTGCTGAAACGAAAATCACAATGTTTATTAAGGTTTTAACGCCTGTTCCTTTCAAATAGTCAAGTGGCACAAACAAACGATTACAGTGTTGATAGTCTTAACTCCAAAAACTGGGAGGATTTTATACCTATCTTCCACTGTGATCGGCTGATCTTTACAAAGGTCAAGATCGCGACAACTATTGCATTCCGAGCAAATGACTTCCGGCAAAGTGTACGTCAAACAAGGATCAATCCATTCTGCCTGCGGGGAGAATTCCCCCACTCCAATCATCTTTAGCAGATCACGTTTCATCCTACGCACTTCATCCTTCACATCCACATGTAAACTTAACACCTGCAAAGCGAGACTTTATTGCTGAATTAGTATTATCGTCATCATCGTAATCATCGTCATGGCACATAATTTTAAGCCATTTTCAGCTGTTTTTGCTTTTTAAGCCGGTCTCCAGCTATTCATCCTTGCATAATCTGTTTTTCTCTTCACCTAAAAATAAAGCTCCCAGATACTACTATTTTACCTTGCACACGGCTTTCGTTAACTCCAGTGCAGGATTCTGCATATTCAGATGCGAGCCAGGCAGAACAGGAAACAGGTTCACTTCTTTGCCGTCAATTCGACGAATGCCGGTTGGCATAGTACGCATGACTGCTTGGATATTTCTGAAATAATAAGCATTCCGCATTTCAAATCTCCAAAAAATTGAAATTAAGAAAAAGAAAACACATACTGCAATATGCTGTGATGAACGCTTCCAAGCAGCAGCTGCTGTAGATACACCACAGGCGCTTCTGCTTCGTGATCTTCGTCTTCGAAATACCGACGGGGGACAATTTCACCTTTGGCAACCTTCTTAAAATACTCCTGATACTGCAAGTTGGCCTGCATGACGTAGCCCGTAACGACACCTCGGAACATTTTCTGGCATTCGGTTGGGAGAAATCCCATGAGATTCCACACCCACCGAATGTCCGGATTATTCTCGTCGCCTTGTTCCTGGCTGAAATAGCTCATATCCCCGAAGTAGTCTCCGAATGTCCGATCATGTATACGACTAGAATCCGATTCTTCGGGCATTTTCACGGAAACACCAGCATAGTTGGACTGTTACCCAAACACACATGCACGATAAGAAATGCAAGGAGAAACAAAAATACGCTGGCTTATCGTACGCACTATACTACCGTAAAATAAAATTGAAAACAAGCCTTAAATGGATAAAATCAACGATTATTAACTCGCAAACATAATTATAGGTAGGAGTGCGCCTTGCTTTACCGCATCTAGCCACAATAATGTAGTCCATATCCTTTCCGGTACAATGCTCAATCCATGAAATAACTGGTCCTGACGCACACGATCCATGGTGAATTTCAGCTGCGCCAGAGCTTCGTGCACATTTCCTTTATCGGTATTGACCACCATCATAACAGCCGTCGCATATACAACATGACACCCGAAGCTGTTAATATCCTTCACCAGTTTGATCAACATTTTCCTCATGATGCCGATCATCTTGCGGTGCAATGCGGGATCATACAGCAAGGATGTGGAAGAACGTATCCATCGGAAGATATGCAGCGCCATTTCGTTGGCAAGCTGGTTGCCCCTTTCAGCTTCGCGGGTGATATTCCGTACCATGCTGCCGAGGATATCGAAAGCGTACTGGACCTGGGCCGATTCGTCATACGGAGCGACATCTACCACGTGAATGCCCGTTTTAATCTGCTCTTCTAAGCGAACCTAAACACAAAAACATTCAGTTTATAAATTCAAACAAAACAACAATAATCGGCAAAGGAAACGCAACTGAAGTGTCGAAATGCAGCAAACTGCAGTATTTATGCTTCGTCGCATCAAAGTCAGACAGAAAAGAAACGAACACCAAACCGAATTTAGTGGTCGAAAGGTCACTCTAACTTTTTAAAATAAAGCCGAACAGTTAATGCACAAACCTGAGGTGCGCGATCGAAATTGATGGACTCAGCAATCCCTTCCGAACTGTGAATGTGGTGTCCAACTAATATTGCGCACACCGCTAAATGCTCCACTTCCATTTTAACTGTGCATGTGGGATACAGCCGCGGTTGGCTGATCTGAAGAACTTTCTCTTCGTCTTCGGCAATTAATCTACAAAGAATAGATATGTTTATCAAACAACAGCAATTACAAAAGCGTAAATACCTGATATCATCAGTCTCCTTGCCGCCAAAATCAGGACGTTCTTTGGGCGTTCCCCACATGATCAAATTATGTCTTTGAAGGAGACGTGCATAAAATAAATCGCATCCAAATACCGCAAAATCCTGAAAATAATTCACTGTGTTACAGTCCGAACCGCAATAATTTATAACACTGAGCATACTTTTGGCGAATTCCCCCATGGAATATCAAAAAAGCGGCATTTTTCCAGTGAACTCTCCACGACAGAGTGTAATTCTAGAAACCGCTGCAACATTTTCTCCGAAGCTTTAGGCTGCCAGTTCATGTATATTTCCGTATCCACACGCTCGTCCTCATGCTGATACGTGGGAACAATTGGAAGACGTCCCAGAGCCGGAATGTTCTCAATCCAGAAAGACGCATGATGGCTACCATGAAGGAAAACTACGCTGGAACCGTGTCGTTGTGCGATATAGTCTGTCAGCGACTTGTCCAACATACGATATATCTAAAAAAGTTATTGAAAAATTTATTTGATAATCAGAATTTATAACAAACGATAACTCAGGCATTGTTTACTTGCAAAATACTTGTCAAGACTCCTATGAATAAACTGAATTCACGAGTCTGTTCAGGCTTCATAAACCACTTCGCAGCCAGCCTGCACAACTCACTGACAGTCGGGACGAAGCTTTCGTTAAAAATTTCAGGCGTACCCTTTTTATGTCGGTTTCAACATGTTTGTTAATAAACTCCTGATCTTCCGGAGGCAGGCATTCGTCTCCATGTTCTTCGACCAACTGTTGCCGCATGGTCTTATACATTCTGTCCAGCTTAGCCGGGAAATGATTTTCTTTCCGGATATCTTTAGCGATAATGAGCTCCTTCCTTTGCTTGACGTAAACTAATGCAAACCTGCAATAACCACAACTTCAGGCATACAGTTATCCGTTATTCGGTTCAGAAATAAACTTACAGTTCTTTTCTGTCCATTTTATAATGAAAGAAATAAACAGGATTTAGGGATCCATTGGGCAGATATTCCACATTCTCGTCCAATACCCGTTCGATATCCTCCAGGAAATACACGTCCGACTCGCGTCTTGCGACTCCCCGCCTTTTTTGTGGAACAATTCGACAGACGCTACCCATACTGCACAACATGCGAAACATTAACGGAATCTGCGTCTCGTAAATGCCTTCTACCGACGGATCGGTTAAGTCATTGAGCAATTCATTTTGATGTTTTTGGAAGGCTTCCTCTTCTACTCGGTACTCGTAAACATGGTCGCCGCGTTTCGAGCGAGGCAGAATCTTGTTGACTTTCTGCACGATTCTACCATCGCTAACTGGTTTGGGAAAGCGTCGATTTATGTAAAACAACCGATAAACTTTCAGCCGAATTGTGTGCATAGTATTGTCGATTAAGGCAAAAACGTTGTACAATCCCGGACTTCCGGTTTCGGCAATCTGCAAGGTCGGAGTAACCAACATCAAAATAATTATCACGCAATACAGCTCTTACGCAAAAATGGAGCAGATTTTATTGTTACCAAGAGAAAAAAATATACAACAAAGACGTATTAGGAAAACACATACACGTACAAGACGTACTGAGAAAGAACACAAAAGAGACTGATGATTTACCTGCACCACGTGCCAATTCTTTTCGATGACATCTTTGCGCGCTTGCTGCACGAATGCCCCCACACTCGCGCCGCTTACAACGATTCCAGAATCATAATTCAGCGTTCTGGATTTCTTCCGGGTTTCTTTATGACGCCGCATCCACGCCCATTTTTGCCGATGGAAATCCAGCCAATCAGTCAGTTCTCTGGACGTCTGGCCTTTAGGAGGCGGCTGCCCCAAGACATCCTGCCAACGCTGCGGCGCAGCAGCGACAGTTTTAGCAGGACTGACCGCAGCCTTGCGCTTTCTTGACACCATAACCACGGGAGGTAGTCGTAAAGAGGATTCCCCATTAATTGCTTCAATATCCACAACATCCGCAACGGCAGCGGGCTTACTCACCGGCTTAAACATATCGGTAATCCGCTTTTGCTTGAAGATGTCGTTATGCTCCTGCATGCGTTTGTGGAGCCAATCCGGGTACGGAACGCGGGGCACAGGATTGGGGATCTGTACAATATAGCCATAAGCAAAACGAGAATTCGCTGTCATATATAAATTTAACTGATTACGCTTTGTAATGCGGCCGGAATAGTGACGATCTTCTGGATCGCACCATTGAGTCGTTCAATGTAGTAGTTCCAGTCGAGAATATCGCGAATATCATCAGATTCCAGAACCGGCACTTTCAGCCACTTTTTCAGATAGTGTAGTCGTATGTGTCTAGCAGCCCGCCAAATCGCTAACGGAATAGCGCTAAAAAGTCAAACTGTTCAGCCTAAACCTTCGAATTACCCAAACCAAAGGACAAACTCACCGCTCAGTTACCGGGGCTCCTTCAGGTTTTTTCGCAATCACGTATCGGCAGTTTAATCCAGCATCCTTGATGACGCTTTCCCCAAGGAATTCCGCCAACCTTCGGGCCGTACTGATAGATGTCGACTTCAATGCACCGTATTCGGAAATCCTTTTAGACATATTACGATTTTCCGCAATAAGGTCACACAGTTCAGAATCCGCCAACGTTCCTCCCTGATATTTAATTTGTGGTCAAAACGTAGCAAAACCGAGTACCAGAACTGCTACATCAACAGAAACGAACGGACTGACCTATACTCGTTCCGGCTGCATTTAAGTTAACATACGGAAAATACGTGGCACGATTTTCGAGGCCTTTCAAGATCCTAATTTTCGTACCTTTGTGTGCAAAATATCCAACCAATTATCGGCCACTTTGGCCACTTCAGCATAACACTCTTGCAGAGATTCTCCAAGCAAGAACGTTTCAAAAACCGCCGTTTGGAACAGTTTAATCAGCTGCAGCTCTCCACGTCGCTTCACCTCGAATCCCTTCAACTCCGCTAACGACCCATCAAAATTGAAAACTGCATAACGTTTCTTTAACTTCTTCCCTTCTTCTTTGGCAGCCGGCAGAATCATAGCCAAGTAAGGTCCATCCACTTCGAATGCAATGGAATTCTCCGTACGTTTAGAATAAATTAGATGGGCCGGATCAGTCAGCTCCTGATACTGCGGGTTGGAAAACTCATCCCGCACCATCATATTCAGCATGACACCGGGGTAGTTTATCGTAGCGCCTTTCGGCATTCCCTCCACTTCCAGCTTAAAGGTTTCCGGGAACGACTTGGGAATGGCACACCAAATCCCGTCGGTGTCCAGTTCCAAGGGCCGACCAATCTGTTCCACGATCTGTCGCGCGCGCTTGATAATTGATCCACCCGTGTGACACACAATACCAGCCATCTCCATACTGTACCAGCGAGCACTAAAACAAGGGCAAGTTTATAACAAAAGTGAGACAATTATGCTTTCCGCACACAGGCACATACCGCTAATGAAGCAAGAGAACGCCACAAGCTACTTCATAGAGCTACTAGTTCAGTTTTTACCCGCGCCGCATGACGTAGCCGTAAAAAGAATTCAGGATACATTTGTGTGCAAGCTGCAGGGAATCATAAACCACTTCCATGGCTCGAGCCTTCTTTTCTCTTTCGGAATTTCCGGCTCGTTGTGCTTCAAGTACGTCTTGTTTGGCTTTCTAAAATTGAATTTCGAATTTACACTAGGATTAACTCGCACATCTGTATTCCGAATCTGATGACCTTTTTCGAGATAACGGTAATAACTGAGTGAATTTACCTTGAGGTTGTCCTTATGCTCATACCGTTTGTCACGGAACATACGGACGGTGTCCACATAGAAACTGTTTTCTCGTTGGCACACAACCGATTCCCGCGGCTCCTCCCGGGTAATGTACAACCTTTTGTATGTTTTTCGGCAGTACTCTTGAAATGACAGGGATCAATGCCGTAAACCGTAAAATGAAATTATGTAAAACAGAATACCTGTGAGGCGTTTCTTTTCGTATGTTGTTTTTTCTTCTCGAGACAGCTGATGGAATGCGCGCGGAGGACGATTTGGGGCAGCTGGAGGAAACTTCTCAGTTTCAAGCTGCTGCTGGATTCTGTGGAATTCACTTCGGGTTGCCGGCACTACAATGCACATAATTTTCTTGTTTAATAACACATCCAGAAAAATAAACATGCATCAAATTCTAATATCATTTACAAAGTATTCGTACTATGCTCGCCACGCCAAGTCCATTTCATTTTTCTCCGGCAATCGTTCTTTGGTTGATTGAACTGGCATCCCGCACAAGTGTCGTCGATAACCAGCGCCGAAGGTTGCAAGCGGTTGGTCAGAATAATATTCGGGTACATAGCGGCCACATCCAAATGATACAGTAACGGATGCTCTTGGCGAATTGGATTATCCCGCAGATCCACCAAACGATCACGAATTTGATCGCAGACAGCAGCGAAATTCTTGACCTTAGTCATATCGAGTTTTTCTTCCTCCACGATAGCATGAGTGATTGTTTTCTCCAGGCTGTCGATAAGCGTCTGCACTCCCTCGGGGTTCTATTGATATGAACAAAGCAAAATGGTAACTACATACTGTAAACATCTGAATTGTACAGAACAATAATTGAACCGTATAAAGAAAGTGGATGCACCAATTCAAATTCGAGACTCGATCTTACCAAACGAAATTTCAAAGGCAAATCAGCACGAAAAATCCCTGCCTCCAGGGCCTCCACGTGACCTCCAACGTACGTTTCCGATTCCACAACATGACCATCCTTAGTCAGTTTATGCAACATAGAGTTGTGTTTATTCGGAAAAATAACGTTTGCTTTGTGTGCCTCAACCATCAGGAGGGTTTCACATAACGTTCCTGAACCTTTCCGCAAAACAGAATCCGGTTCCATGGGAATAATGGTACAGAGTGCAAAGATAAAGGGGTGCACATATTTCATGTACAGGTAATAAGTGGCAACGGCGTCCGACACGGAGTAATTAGCCAGAATCTGCGGCTGCTCCCGGGCCATTTGCACCATCAGCTCGGGGTCAAGTTCCACGGGATTGTACTTCAATTTGGCTTTGCAGACCGCTTTCAAATTCTGGCTGCCCACTGGGAGATAACTATCACGCTTTACCCATTTGAAACAATCCATATGGACAGCGGAATGGGAAAGGAAATCTTCCCCGGTTTTGGCGAAACCCAGTTGATCATACAAGCTGATACCGTTCGCTCGCGCTCGTGCTTCGATAAATGGCCTGCAATTATTACAGAACGTTTGGAATTTGCAGCATTTTGGGTATTAAATACGCAAAACAGTTTTTACCAATCGAAAAAATCACCGTTGTACGTTGTGAAAATGACCGGCTGAGTCTTTAGAAGGTGGCCAAAGAATCTTGACAATAAATGAGATTCATCAGGCTCGTTGAAAATGGAGAAAACACCCTCGAATTCTGGCTTTGGAGTATACTCGAACGAACTGATATCATCGGACACGATTTCCCGGTTTACAATCAAAAATCCCTAAACAACACACACTGCAACGCATGTAATTTGCACGATGGTACAAGCCAGCTACCTGTCCGTTAATCATATATGAAATCATCATGATTTTGTCTTTTAATGGATCGGGAAACTTCAAGGGTTCTTTTGTGGTTTCAATGTCGTAGGCACACACCACAACATCCTAGAAGCGTAATCAAACTGTAACGTCAAAACTGGCCAAAAATCGTAAACATAACACGCACTGGAGGCTCCTGAATGTCATCTCGGAACTCCATTACAGGCGGTACACAAGGTCCAGCCTGCGGGGTCACGTCATACCACAAGCCACAGAATATCTGCTTATCAATGGCCACACGGACATGGAATGGTACATCAAACTCCCTGCACAGTTGATTTTATGTAGTTAGTTATAAGTCATGGTATATTCCATGTCATCCAAATTAACAAAATATTAAAGTGGCATATTAGACCAGTTTACTAGTTACATAAAAGTAATACCGGATATCGATTATATTTTCGATAGGGTCACTTCGGGAATCCTGTACATAATCCAAATCCAAACCACCCAGAAAATTTAAATTGGCCTCTCCGTACGTATTCGTGCTAGCATTATGGCGATTGCGATTTCTTGTAATTTTCGGCATCAGCTCCTTGCGAACTTTCATCAAATCACTGACATTAAGGAACGAAAGTTTGATGTATTTTTGCTGGAGACCGCTAAGGTGATTCAACTGGAAGGCAAACACAAAGACTGCTGAAGATTCGACACACACGAACAGTCACATAATAAAACTACTACTGCATGTAAAAAGTTAAATTGTAGGCTATTTGTAGCATAATTCAAGCGAGCACAATTAAAGTATCGAAGGTATTCCAAGTTTGTTACTTGTTAGGTGCAGCTGACTTGTGAGCATAATATTTCAGCATCCGCAGGGGAGGCTTTTTAGTATCTTAGCTTTTAAAAAGCGGACCAACAATATTCTCGACATTTCGGCGTTTGAAAAATGAAAGAAAAATTTGTTCTGAGGCATGCCCGTAAAAGTTTTATGTCCGAGTCAGTCCGACTTACCAATTCAAGATCCTCCTTTTTCACCACATCAACCGATGTTAGCAAATGACTGAACTTTCGTTGCAGATACGTGCATGTTTCCACTTCACAATCCCTTTTTGTCTTGATAAAAAAATATGGATGGTACGGCATGCCAACCTTCAGAAAACAGCAAATACGTTATTTTCTACATATTACTGCAGTTATTATATCGTTCAGACTCCTAAATTATTCTAAAAATATTTTAACTGCATGCATTTACAGACATTGTCGGTTATCCCAGTCGCAAATTAGCAGTGCATCTATACTGCACTAAAATCAACTGCATGCTCACCTTGAAACGCTCGTTTAGCTCGTCAACGAAGAAGTAATCCACGACAGCAGTCAGCTTTTTGGTTTCCTCATTTAATACTTCGTTCTGGCAGAAAACCATGTAGTTAGACGGCACAAAACAACCGATTAATACTGCGCTTACGGAATGCATGTTGAGGAGATATCCAGTTCGCACTTCTGGTTCTCTGTAGCGCTCAAAACCAAATTTTGCGTCCAGTTCATCTTGCTTCAGAGCACGAGCAAGACGATGGTCGTCACTGTCACCAGCAAAATCACTGGCTCTAAAAACCAAGGACAAACTGATAACGCCGTTCAGTTCATTTTACTGCTCATTGGAATGATCGGCATTCTGATGTAAATATCAAATATGGTCTAAAAAATGTGCCACCGTAACTTCGGATACGACCAAGCATTCAAGTGATTCATTTCAGCTCACTTCAAAACGGAGGGTTCTTCTGGAAGATCCACAAACTCCTGCTCGACATCCTCATCATGAGCGTCCTCGTTATCGCTGTCCCGTTCATCCATTGTATATTACACCACAAGGAGAAAATGCTGGACAAGATGCTTGTTGATAATGGTGTCCAGTGAATCTGCTCCGCTGTTTTGCAGTCAAAGCATAATTTCAAAACGGGCAGGAGTCAGGACCCATCATAATAATAGCTACCATTCACTGTGATTCACAATAAATTCCAGGATCCCCAATACGTTCGACCAAAAACCCTCCGTATAAAGGAGAAAGAATGTGTGACAAGTCTTAATATTATTTACTGTATTAACAACACTCCTCAAAACCGCAGGATGCTACAAAGCAACAGGAAGAACTGGAAACAATAATTAAGAAGTTTTAAAATTGAAAAATATTCGAATACAATAAAACCATCGCGCTCCTGTATGTTGGGCGGGATGTTTATTTATTGAAAGCAATTCGGCCGAAAATAACTCGAAGAGAAATCGTACGGGAACCGATTGCCCCGAACTGCTTTACACAAGGACCTGCATAGTGCGCAGTGCATTGCACATACGCTTTAATACCGCTTCCGCAATGTGATTTCTACTTTTACTGCTGAATCAGAATTTTTTGAAAGCTCATAATAAGTCAAAAGTTTCGCACTTAAGTACAAAAAACATCCCATTTTCTGCGAGTTTGTTGGATTTTGAATTCTGATTTTGTTCATCGATTCAGACTGCGGTGAAGTTGAGGATGGCTCAGATTTTTAATCGCCTAGGCGCTCTCGGCTTAGGTATCGCTGCGATTGGGGGTATTGCATCAACCGCGCTGTACAATGGTGAGCGAACCCTGTTGCTCTTGGCGTCTTGAATGTTTATGCGACTTGAGCAATACACTCACTTAACATGTCCAAAATTTACAGTTGATGGCGGTCATCGAGCCGTAATATACGATCGATTCGCCGGAGTACGCAATTACGTTGTTGGCGAGGGAACCCATTTCATCATTCCCTGGGTCCAGAAACCTATCATCTACGACATCCGCTCGAGGCCCCGAAATGTCCCTGTCATAACCGGAAGCAAAGGTAAATGAGGGAATAGGCCGTGAAGTTTTGTAATGGCAGTAGGCCGCTTACGATTTGCTTCGGTTTCTCTGAGATTTCGTGAGTGCAGCGCAATGGTACTTCACAGATCTCCAGAATGTCAACATCACACTCCGTATCCTTCATCGGCCGGTCGAAGAGAACCTACCAAAACTGTATCAGATTCTCGGTATCGACTACGACGAGCGAGTTTTACCTTCCATTGTTACGGAAGTTTTGAAGGCAGTTGTGGTAAGTGAAGAGCGCTTTTTTATCGCTGAAGCAGTTTTTCGTTGTACCGATGTACATAGTACAAACTTCGTTTATGACTTTTCGCTTCGCTGCATGATACTTCCTGCAGTATTCAGCGCACGACTGATGTTTTAGTTTTGTCACCACCGGTAATGATTTTTTGGGTTTACAGTTTACACACTTTGCCGTAATTTATTTTGTTATAAAAATATACAAATTTCGAATACTGTACTTAGTTGTTTAATATTAGGCTGGTTTTTTGGCGCTTTAGGCCCAGTTTGATGCCAGTGAATTGATCACCCAGCGAGAAGTTGTCAGTCAGAGAGTGAGCGAAGAATTGATTGAGCGTGCGGCGCAATTCGGGCTGATCCTGGATGACATTGCTATTGTAAGTCATGATTCGAACTCAGCAGATCAAGAAAACTACGTGTCTGTCGATTGAGATTTACATTTGAATGATTTGATATGTTCTACGGTTTCAGACACATTTGACATTCGGAAGAGACTTCACATTAGCCGTCGAAATGAAGCAGGTTGCTCAGCAGGAAGCAGAGCGCGCTAGATTCCTTGTCGAGAAGGTGAGATCTCGCTTTCCTTGCTCTCGTGTTCGGTTTGATAATCAAAAATTCTGAATGTTTGTTGTAGGCTGAACAGAAAAAGCGGGCCACCATCATTTCAGCAGAAGGTGACTCAGTTGGTGCGCAGTTATTAGCTGATGCCTTCGGAAAATCCGGCGAAGCACTGGTAGAACTGCGGAAATTGGAAGCGGCAGAAGATATCGCTTACCAACTTGCTAAAGCTAAGCAAGTCATCTATTTACCACCTGGACAACAAACTCTGATATCGTTACCGCAGTGATCAGGGATGTGATCGTTAGACCTTGCATCCTTTCACCTGTTTAGCAAGTGGTACCTGAATCGTAATCTGATCAAGCTGTTGGTTGATTTTGATGTAATTTGAATTTTATTTCGTGTTTTCGGACTAACTTCTGTTTTGCTGTTGTAATACGGGACGATAAATTTGACCTGTTCTTGACTTCGATTCCATGATTGCTTCTTTATGTTATGACTTGTTTATTTGTCGTCAAAAATAAGACACCTAATTTTTTACTTTACGGAAACGGCATTAGCACATGCCAGCACCAGTGAAACCCTGAAAACTGAGAACAAGCGGGCTGAATTGATAATTAACTATTTTTGAGTTCTAATAAAATTAAAATGCTTGCCAGTTGCTACTTCCTGTATGCAAAAAAAATTGAAATCATCCCCGATCTGCCGCTAACGATTGCTTTCCTTCAATGCAATGCCAAGTTATTTACTATGTCTCCGCTTCTTGGCGCAGCTGGTCTAGTTCACTCATGATCCCAAGGCTGTCAGAATGTGAACCGTGGCAACTCGGTGTTAAAAGATTCTCCTCTTTAGGGTCTACTCGGTTCAATCCAAATTAGCATAACATATGCATATGTAGCATATGCGTGCATATGTAGTATGTACATACTACATAGTAAATATTTCATTATTGTCAGTTAGTTTCTATCAGGACAAGGACTGATTTTGGTTGCGAGTCATACGACTACTGCAGAAAGCCTAATTGTTCCTTACAAAAAGTACTGTGCCCATATAGATAGATCATCTGTACACTGTAGAGAGTTGTGATAGATCGTTATTCAAAAACTAGAATTTTATTCCATAAGATTCGACGACAATTCTATTCTATGTTCGACGACAATTCTATGTTACTCACTTCAGAACAAAGACCAAGTACCTCTTAAATCGGTACAGAGAAGGACACAAAAAGACTTCTTTGACTAGGTTTAATATACAATTAATGCACTTATACAATTAATTTTTTGGTAAGTTACTTAAAAAGAGAAATAGCCCAGAAGCCTCACCATCTTCCATGTACAGAGCAGGGGGTATAGAATACACATAAAAATGCTGATTCCAATCAGCAAATGTCGGATGAAATTCAACTAATCAAAATAAGTTAAATTTGTCACACCGAACAATACGAGTATGCACCCGGATAGCTGACAGTGGTTCACACTTCCGGCGAAGGACATCGATTTTCCTGTTCTGTTGCATGTCCACTCGGAAGAATCACCACAGCGGTATCTCTTGCAACCATCGCATCTTCATAGAATTCACAGAGGGCTTTGCGAAGGTGCTGACGCATAAACGCATTTGGCAAAAGGACAGTGCGGTCCATGGACAACGAATTTGATCTACACCAAAACTAATTACCCCCTGTATAGATATAGATACAGTACTGTATAGATATATAGCGAAGGGTATGGCTGATCATTCGAAAGACGAAAGTAAATAAGTAAGCAAGGGACAATTGCAACACAAATCACTAATTTAATAACTAATATCGACAAAACTTTTGACATAAACCGCATTCCTCATATTTCACTGCAGGCATTCAAGATTAGTTTAAAAAAAAACTGAAAGCTTACAAGTAAACCTCCAATAAAAAGCGTTGTTTTGAAGATTCCATTCCAGTTCCACAGGTAATATTCGGTCTTGGATCAAAAATCAAGCGAGTGACAAAGTTAGTCTTTATGCGAGTAGCGGTATGATCATCCTGCAATAAATTAACGACTTCCTGCTCATATTTCTGATCAAATTCGACCACTTTCTGCATCTCCTCCACGGTAAAAGTTTGTCCCATCGGAGTCCATTCTATCCAAACACGGCTGGTGCTGTGAGAGCAGGGAATTAGAACAAAAATATAATTACTGTACTCGCAGTAAAAAATTCACATACTGATACCATAAAACTTCAAAGAATGAAAATTGTACTCCATTATTTCGGTGGCAGTTTTGATGTCTTCCATCTTCGACAATCTTATAACGATTATTTAACCCGTATCTCCCAACTCCCCAGTTATACAAAAATCGGGTGTACCGCCGTATCACTTTTCGGCTAAGTCAGCTGTTTTGGAAGTTGAAAACATAACATAACTATGTTTTCAGCAAGCATCCAACATTTACTATCGAGACTCCATCATTAAAAAGAGCGGCCATTAATTTACCATAGTGATATCATAAAATTTAAAAACGATTTCGCTATTATCGGAAAAATAAGTATTGTAATCACTCTGCAGTTACTTTTTGTGCTTGCGAACACAATCTACTATCTGCTGCGTGCCGTTAGACAGTAGCACTCAAAAATTGCAGCATTCAAGGATATGTTTTACCGCTTGTTCAAAATGGCCTTGGTGTAATACTCCAACTTGCCGCTCAGAGGACCAATTCTGCGATCAAGTATTTCCTCGAGATTTGCTCGCGGAATCGATGACACGCTGCTGCACTCTTCGTCGGCGGATGTGGTGCCATTCTGTTTTAGTCCATAAGGATTTGGCGATTCCGTCCTCGGCTTTTTCGTTGTTTGAAAGTGATCATTTGGCAACGCTGCCAGTAAAGAATTCCGCGTTACCACCACCATTTATCCGCAGCTCAAAGAATCCAAGTTTCAAAAACGATACTTATGGGGTTTTAGATTACAATGACAAAACGTCAACGAAAAACACAAAAAATATTTTCTATTTTGGTTCCCGTGCTTCGGAACAAATAGCTCGTATAAAATCTTCCAAGGCACGGAAATGTAACGGCACAAGGCAAATGCGGAAAAGGCGGCACCGCAGTCGATACAACAAACAGGTATACAAGTAACTACCACTCCGGCAGTATGTGTTAGCGCTTGAGCGCGGATTTTTTCGTTAGAACAGTCTGTAGAAGATAAGCCGGCGGCGACGTTTCCTACTGCTGTAATCTGTACTTTCATAAAAGAAGCAAACTTCAAGCTCAAGCAAAGTTCCGAAATCCTAATACGTGCATGATTTTCTTATTCTTCTTTTGGCAGTAATCATAAGACCATCTTAATTACTAAAAACAGAAGGTCTCAAGCTAATGAGCAGAAGCTTATAAGGCAAAGCCAACTTATGTATCACTATTCAGTCAACATGTTCCAGTTGTGCGGAGTCTGCAGAGTGCAGACTGTTGTCCAAGCTGATTAGGGATTACAAGCTTTTCCTCATCGAAGAAACTTTCAAATAAATCCTGCCATTCACCCCGGGACTGCAGATTTATTAACATGAAATACCAATCCACGAACACAAAGTAAAAACAACCGAACAATTTAGCTACACCAGTTAAATTATTAAGTACCATCATCACGTCGCGAAAAGTGCCAAATAAAACGAGTCAGATACATTAAAGAACTATTTTTCCATTAAGCTTAAAATTTCACGTTACTTATAACAGCTCTGACAAAATCAGTCGACTTCGCATGTCCACCCAGATCTTTTGTCCTAACTTTCTGAGCCTTAATCACTCGGTGAACCGCGTCTCTAATAATATTTGCGTGGTAGTCGAGATTCAGGTGCCGAAGCATATTGCACGCTGTAAGCAAGATGGCGGTGGGGTTTGCAATGTTTTTTCCCACGGCTTCGGCATAAGAATGACGAGCCCCCGTTTCAAAAATGACCGAATCATGGGAATAACTCTGGAAAAAATTAGGTCGATGTGAACAGCATAAACGACATCCAAATTGAAAAAACGTATTACTGTACCTCTCCCGGCACCACACCGGCTCCACCGACGAGACCAGCAGACAAATTATCAATGATGTTTCCGTATAAATTTGGCATCACCTAGAAAATCCATCAAGTTGAATGCATGTCACATTGTGACTGTCTTTTTGCTACGGGGAAAACGGTACTTACACATTGCACAGTTCCGCATTTGAGGAGTTTATTGTTGCATATTCAATGCCAAATGTTCAAGATCAATTTTAAAACATAAAGATTGTGCTACGCTTGGTACCTCATAGAATCTACCGGTAAACATGCGACGTTCAGCGATATTTCTGAACGGATGTAATCCACAAGAATAGCAATTTTTGTAATAACTTTTTTATAACAGTCATCCACAAAGAAGTGTTCATACGCATCGTAACTCATCTATTTAATATCTGGACTTGCGGCTGCAACGTCGACGGCTAATCCATCAGGCATGTCACGTACAAAATAAGCTGAACTAACAATATTATTTGCACGTAACCCATGGGGAGGTAAATACTAAAGACTTGTACACTGATTTACTTTTGCACCGGAAAGGACTAACAGCCGCAAATGTTTCTCACGAACGATTGGTTACAACCCCTAAATCGCTCAAAATCATAGATTTTTACTTACCATAACATCAAACTGATGCGGATTGTTGACCAGCTGCATGCAGGCATTATCAATGATCATATTGTTGAATTTGATCCGAGGATATAAATCCGCAATCTTCGCACAACACTCCAGGAACAGTCCATCACTCAGTTTCATAATGTTAGCTTTATGTACCGCTGTGACTCGTTTGCGATTGTTGCGCACAGCGTAGTCAAAGGCGAACTTCGCAATACGCATAGACTTGTCGCGAGTGACCACTTTCAGACTCTCCACAATGCCAGGCACAGCCTCATACTCGATGGCACTGTACTCGCCTTCCGTTGTCTCCCGGATAATAATAAAATCCACATTCGTGTGTCGTGTCTTCAGACCATCCAAGCTCTTAATATTGGCAACACTGGCAAAAGAATCCAGTTTTCTGCGGAGCTTCGTGTTGAGGGTAGCCAGTTCACCGTCCTTGCCCTCGAAACCTGACTGCAGGGCGCCCTTCAAACACACCCCGTTCTTGCGGATGGACGTAGCCACATCGTCAATTGAGTCACTGCGCGAGAACGCCACCTCGCTCAAAAAATATTCCTCCCAATCAATAGGAACACTGATACTGTCGAAGACCTCTCGAACAGCCCACATCTGTAAAGCGCAACATTCGAAGTCAAGGTGCATCAACAATCTACATCCTACAAGTCACTCGATGAAGCTCGCTGGAGAACAGCAGGGAGCACAACTAGTACTGTGCACAGTGCACTGAACTTTGGCTGTCTTAAAAATTAAAAAAAACCTACAAATTCAGTAAACTTTTGTTAATTCGTCTTAGCTACCGTACAAACTTGACTCTTGACTTTGAGGCAAGAATCTCGTTCGCATTTCACTGATTTCAAGTTTTCAACCTACCAATTCCGGACCCACTCCATCACCTGGTATAATAGTTACAGGATAGCGTCTCTCTGGTTTTGCCACCGGTGCCTGCACTGGGAAAGACTGGACAGCTGAACTGTGTAAAAGCCTGGAGTGGGCCGGAAATGCCAGATTCTGGAGGGCTGCAGAAGCTGGTACGGCTGCCGACACAGCCCTGTAAAGGTTGGAAATCCGTGCAACAGCCATCCTTGGCCCTCTGCGTCAGTAAAATCCAAGACACCAGTTGTCAACTTTCACCACACCGAAAACGATCTCTTAAGATGGTGCAAATGCAGATTAACCATAAGGTCCTGGTATGGAATTAGTATTTTTATTCAAATCATTCAAATGGCAAAACCAGACACGAAAGAAAATGAAAATACTTGTACGAAAATTTCAATTGGAAATTTGAATTTCTGACAGAGCGCCCCAACTGGAAATCCAAAAACGAATAGGAAAAGCGAAGGAAGCATATCCGACACGGATTTCGTGTTCGACTCACCGGAAGTAGTGAAACCGCGTGTGACGTGCTTTCCCGTACTCGTACATACGATACCCGGATACAGGAAATTGCTGTTCGCTAGACTGAGTAGACTCCCTATGGTAATCTTAATCGTTAATAATTTTAATTTTTGAAGAATGCATGAAGTAAAAGTAGGAACAGATTTTCCTTTAAATGTTAAAGATAAAAACATGAGGACATGGACCAAGGTGAATAAAACATTCCAGAAGGTCAAACTAAAACCGTTAAGTACTAGTACTGTAATTCCACGTTTCATTGACGCTCGACGTCATTATTATTAACCTCATGCCAAGACGGACAATACTGGTGTGTTGCAAACTTGCAAACACGGCCCACAATCACACAGAGCAGTTCAAAACACGCTACGTGAGACAGCATTTGTTTACGCTTACGCTGTTAGTTTTTTACCTAAACATCACGGCTGATCTAATCCTCCTGGAGGGATTGGATGGGTGCTATTCACGCACTTCGGTTCATTTTATGGACTTAAGCGTCGTGCTCAGTGGCAGCGTTTACACATCCAATCTGCCACAAAATCCATTGGACGTTGTTGCTTTTCAGTGCCTAAGCGCAAGTCCAAGCACGAAAATAATTAATATTATTTCAAATTAGAAATTTTAGTTTCTATCAAAAGGAGGGCTTAAAAGCAAAGCGCAAAACGTATCGACCCTGATAACAGATACCTGATTTTCTGTTATTATGGTTCCATTCTGACTAGCGTGTGGAATTTTTTGTGAATTGTAAAAGCTACCGCATATCGACATATGCCACGTATAAGAAGAAGAATAGAATGAGAATTTCTCTCGTTCGTGCTAAGTTTTATTTTGGCCAAATCACAAATGAATCTTTTTTCGGATAACGTTCCATATGTTACACTTTCAGACCAGCAACGGAAGCATTACAAACCTGTTTTTTGTTTAAAATGAAAAGTCAAGGACCGTTTTTGTCCTACCAAAACATGCTTACAAAGAATTCTAAAATATCTATAAATTATCACTTCCACTCACGGAAAGCCTTTCGACAGCACTAACATGAGCACTCGGGTTAAGACTATGGTTAAAACTAAGGTCAGCATTCGGGTTTTTACTTTGGTTAGAACTAATGTTAGCACTCGGGTTAAGGCTCTGGTTAAATTAAGTGCAAAACGAAACGGGCTTACCATTGTTAGGCTGAAGCATTACTTAGTTAGATAGTTAATTCGATAGAACAACGATTCAAAAAAGTTTATTTTTTATGATTGAATTTAAAAAAGGAAATGGCTATTCTCACCACCCTAGCACCTCCTTTGGCTGTTCTCAAGACCTTTCACCACCTTTTGGCTATTCGCACCCACTTTTTAAAAAATATTTTTGCCACCACCTTTGGCTATTGTGACCACCTTTTTACACCTCCTTTCGACTATTCCCATTTCCTTACATATTTTAATAATAATATTATGTTTATAAATGCCTACGGAGATCTTTCTTTTATAAAAATGATTGTAAAATCATATTTGTATAACGCTATGCGTTTAGGCGCACGACCTTTAAAAGCCGGGCAAGTAAACCCGATAATACTTGCCGGTATCAACAAATACTGTACTAGCAGGTACAAAATCATGAGATACGAGTCAGTTAAATATGACTGGATCCGCCACAAAGTGCATGACGATCAAAGAACTGGAAGAAAACCATTCCAGCATACCCGGCGAGCCGAATGCAATGCCGCTCTAACCGTAGCGGCACGGCTGAAAGAACACCGCCCCATCATTACTAAGCAAAATATGCGGCATAACCATCCTCTTACCAAGGATGGTTGGCAAAACGTGCTGGAAAATCGACGGTTGGATCCGAAAGAAGCTGTAGAAGTCCGTGAATTGATAGAATCGCGAGTGAATTTAAAAAAGTGCGAGTGCGAGTGATAAAAAAGCTACTGAGTTTCCAATAAGGCCAATCGATCGACATTCTGTTTCCTCGGGTATAGCAGCAAAAAATGGATACGACTGTAGCGTTTTCACCATTGCTTTTGCAGTTGAAATCGTTTACCAGGGTTTACCGGAAGAAGCCGAACTCTGCAATAAGAAGATGCGAGAACGTTTGGCAAACAGCTGCAGCACGGACAAGATGCGCCTAGATACTTTTCCGGCCGGCGGCGGCCCCAACCGTAAAAAAAGTGCCCCCAACGGCAAAGCTTTGTTTTTTGTCACGAAGTTTTTTATAAAATTTACTGTGTAAAAAATGCAATAAAGAGGTGAGAATAGCTAAAAGAGGTGTGCAGAGGCGGTGGCAATAGTCAAAAGGTGGTGTTAGAATTCAATTCTTGGAAGGTGGTGGGAATAGCCAATAGGTGGTGAAAGGTCGTGAGAATAGCCAAAGGAGGTGCCAGGGTGGTGAGAATAACCATTTCCTTTTAAAATCAATCAGAAAAATAAACTCTTTTGAATCGTTGTTCTTTCGAATTAACTATCTAACTAAGTAATGCTTCAGCCTAACAATGGTAAGCCCGTTTCGTTTTGCACTTAATTTAATTAGAGCCCTAACCCGAGTGCTAACATTAGTTCTAACCAAAGTAAAAACCCGAATGCTGACCTTAGTTTTAACCATAGTCTTAACCCGAGTGCTCATGTTAGTGTTGTCGAAAGGCTTTCCGTGAGTGGAAGTGATAATTTATAGATATTTTAGAATTCTTTGCAAGCATGTTTTGGTAGGACAAAACGGTCCTTGACTTTTCATTTTAAACAAAAACAGTCTTGTAATGCTTCCATTGTCTGAAAGTGTAACATACGGAAAGTTATCCGAAAAAAGATTCATTTGTGATTTGGCCAAAATAAAACCTAGCACGAACGAGAGAAATTCTTCTATTCTTTTTCATATACGAGGCATATGTCGATATGCGGTAGCTTTTACAATTCACAAAAAGTTCCACACGCTAGTCAGAATGGAACCATTATAACAGAAAATCAGGTATCTGTTATCAGGGTCGATACGTTTTGCGCTTTGCTTTTTAAGCCCTTCTTTTGATAGAAACTAAAATTTCTAATTTGAAATAATATTAATTATTTTCGTGCTTGGACTTGCGCTTAGGCACTGAAAAGCAACAACGTCCAATGGATTTTGTGGCAGATTGGATGTGTAAACGCTGCCACTGAGCACGACGCTTAAGTCCATAAAATGAACCGAAGTGCGTGAATAGCACCCATCCAATCCCTCCAGGAGGATTAGATCAGCCGTGATGTTTAGGTTAGTTTTTTCGATGCTGATTCATCCAGTTGTGATTTGAAAAATCAGAATCGCTCTGCCAATCTTTCTCTGAAGAAGCCAAAAAATCTGAGGATTGTTCTGCAGCAAAACCATGGCAGGATGGATGTGCATCGCGGTTGTATCTGCTGTCCTACATTGACAATCACCCAACCTGATATTGAATGGTACGATAACGAATGTTACGACATTTTTATCGTTTCAGAGTTCAGAATATCTGCGAAGGCAGACACTTGATGATATCATTATGTAATGGTGCAGCGTAGTTGAAGGGAATGTTTTGGCAGAGTGGAGACTGTCGGATCAGCTGTGATCCAAAAGTATTGGGAATGCCTTCATCCGCGGACTTAGTCCAATTGGCTTCCAGCCTGAGAGAAGAGCACATCTTCGTCAAGGCAGAAACGCAGCAGCTGTCTCGTTTAAATCGACAGCTAGCGGAGAGCACGGAAGCACTGTACCACGAAGCATGGATTGCTCGAAGGCAGCGACGTGCCCTGGAGATTCTGTTGCAGCAACGGCAAGATCTTCCTGCTGATGGTTGTCTGCGCTATCTTAATGCAGCAGCCAGTACTGTTCTTGTGGATGGCTACAAAGTATTAGGTTGGTGGTATAGCATTACTTGTATATCATTGTTTGTGGCCTCTTTCAAACTGCAAAATATGATACTGGGCGAACATGTTATTATAATAATGTTTTTAATCAGTGTTCTTGTATCGTTCTGCATATTTACTGTATTTCCCAAGGTCGTTTTCAAATGGGTTCGACAATTCATGATTCACAGTGATATTGCATGTTGTTTATTTGTATTGAATTTGTATTGTTTTTTCCTAGGCTACAAGGAGGCTTCGTACGGAGAATGTTTGAAAGTTGTACGCCAAAATCCAGAATTATTAGCGGAGTGTTTAGTGCGATGCGAAAAATTGGACCATGAAAAAGTTCAAGAAGCGCTGAGAATTATTCTGGGCAGCTTATACGGTTACGGGCTGATACCAGAAGACCAAGAATATTCGCTCAAATTATTGAAATCCCTGATCGAAATCCAGTTGGATGCCAACAGTAATCCCCGTCGGTTGTTGAAAAATTCTTCCTTCACTTATTGCTACAAAATTTTCGTGGAAAATCTCCACGAAGCAAAATTATATTTAGCTGCCGCGCTCCATCAGCCAATTTTACAAGTTCTTGCCGAAGACGATCACTTTCTTGATTTTGATGCTGGAAAGTTATCGTATCGAATACCAGCGGAGGAGAAAAGGAGGAAATTCGGGAAAGAAGGGACGCCGCGATTTGAACAGAATTTCAAGAATTATCGAGCTGTGATGATCCAGAGATTGGTGAGATGTTTGTGTTTTGAGTCAGGCTTATTCACACGCATGACAACGTATGGGATTTGTAGGTGCGACTGGTTAAGCGATTCATACAAGGGCTACAAACCAGTTTGTTTTGTTTTCCTCCGAGCCTATGCTGGATCATCAGCCAGGTGTACGAGCGGATACAGAGCCAGCAAGCAGCGCAGTCCACCCTGCCGGCCATTGTCTGCACCGATCTTGTGTTCTCGCACTTCATTTGCCCGGCAATTATCCAGCCCGAACCTTATGCACTTACCTCGGATATTCCCGTGAGCAGTGTTGCTCGGTACAATCTGATGCAGGTAAGGGATTTATCTCTACATGTTTTCGAAAATCACTAAATTAAATTATTTTCCCTTTATGATACAGATTGCGCAAGTGCTGCAGACATTGGCAGTTTCCAAATGGGAGACTATTGATTCAAAACATCTGGATGTTTACGGTGCTTTTGAGCCGGTAAGATTTTGTTGTTGTTGGACTTCATCCTGGCACATGTTCAACTATTTACTGTTTCTTTCAGGATTGTGTGTGGAAAGTGCTTGATCGGGTTGTGGAGATGCGAACATCGGACATCCTCATGTCACCTTTGCCTTCATCTGACAGTGTTAACCGTTCATCGGTTTTTATTTCCCTTACGGAGTTAAATTTTCTCATCGGTTTTCTAAAGGAGTCTAGCGCTGATCGACCCGGGTCTCGAGTGGCATCTGATATCATTCGAAATTTGGTTAATTCATTGCCGGTTATCGAAGCCCCACCAAAGGAAGAAACATTTGGTGCTGCGCCAACTCCGCCTCTGGAAATGAAATCGAAAATCCATAAGAGTAACAGTAAACATGAGGCGCTGCGATCCAGCACGATTGAAGAAAAGGAGAAGGATTTGCTTGAGAAGTATATGATGGCTAGCGAAGTCATGGTGGTCTCGTTGGGACCGCGCGAGTGTAGTGAGTTGGGATTTATACCGGAGCAGAAAGTATTGGCTTTGAATAAAGGAACACCAAAGAAGCGAACACGATTTTCTGAAGAACAGGATTCATTCGGAGAATGTAAGGGTAGCTGTAATCTTGCCTTTATTTGCGTTATACTGCAGCATGGCATTATTGGTTGCAGATGTAGGAAGCGTCGATGACGAAGCTATGAGTGCCTTTAGCGTTTGTAGTAGTATTCCGGACTCTGTATCCCTTACCGGACCAGGAAAAAGGAACAGCATCCCTGGTCGTTTCGATGATACCTCCAGTGTGCCGAGTGAAGGATTAATAGCCGTATGCGAAGAAATTCAGGGACGCCATTCGATTGCGTCTTCGGTGGAGGACGAGGCCACGGCTGATGATAACCTGAGTGATGCCGTATCTCCAAATATTAGTGGACATGCCAGTCCAACGGTTAGTGGACGGGACACCCCGTCACCGCAAAATGAACAAGTGGATTTGAATAACCTCCCGAACCTACCTGCCGCTGTGGTCAGGCCATTGCAGCCGTCCGATTTGCCGATCACCGTGCAAAAATCCAATCGCGAAGATGTCCCCGAGAAATTCGGGAAGTTCTATATACCGTTGGATGAAACACGGTCAACGATGAGCGATGCGTGGAGTACGGAAGTAGCTGCTTCGGAAATCGAAGCACTGAATGATGTTCCGATTATTCCACCGCCGCTTCCGGAAGTTAACCCTGTTGACGATCCGGTTTTTGCTGTAGCGGCTGCTGGCGGGTTTGACTCGGACGATGATCGGTGGAGCGTGGATGTCGCCGCTTCCGTATCGAATGCTAGCCAGGAACCGCTGGAAGAGCGCATGCGTGAACTGGAAATTGACCCTCAGGTATCACTTGAAATGCGATGATTCTGTCAAAGCTGAATATTATCGGCCACGCATTTACAGCATCGTGATTCGTTTTTTATGTAGATGGATCGTGACCTTGCGCTTACAAGAGATCAGGAGCTTCGGGAGAACGCAATACTGGATGTTGTTGTGCCAGTTGGACCAGTTTTGCCTAACGCTCCTGGAAAGTACGTCAGTTTTGCCACCGATGACCAGTTCCATCACTATCCGCCCGAGCATGATTTACTTGGACCCTTCGGTTCTCCCGTAAATAGACCTTTCCACAATTCCACGGAGGAGACAAAAGAGGAAGATCCCACTGCTAATCTGCCACTGAATGTGTTTTTACCGATACCGAATGACGTAGACACGGCATTTCCAACGTCCGTGCCGAGCAGTTGTTCCTCTTTCAGCAACCTGAGCGGCTTTTCCAATTACGGATCGGATCAGAGTATGACAAAAATGGCTGGTAAGCTTACATTTGCTATTATCCGGTAAATAGTTGATAAATATGAATGGTGCATGCGTAGGTGTTGAAAACGGCTCTCAACCGTCTGTGCTGAATGCATTTGATCCTTACGCCCCGGTGACATTTAACCCAAATCCATCGCCCACATTCGCGTATCCACCAGCTGACAAGCCAACAATTCCACGCAAAGGTAGCTTAACTATCTCTCGGGAAACCGTCACCATAAAAGAACTTCCAAATCGGCAGTCGAGCTTGAAAGACTCTCCGATAATAAATAACCGACCGGATAAATTCAGCCCATCCTTGTCCCATTCACCAGGAAAGAAGGGCAGTTTTCTCAAGAGCATCGCTACCAGCTTCCGTGGTAAACAAAAACGTATGTCAGGAAAGGTTGACCTGCCGCATGCGGCTAGCCTGGGCGACTTCAACACACCACCCAAAGCAGCATTATCACCAGCTGTAGTAAATGAATCACCGGATGATATTTTGGCGAAATATCGTAAAAAAGCTGCGGCCTCTGCCGGCGCCACGCCGTCGACGCCACCCGTGGCAGTGCCGAATGGAACGCCCTTGCTTGCCCCTCCGTCTGCTTCTTTACCGGTGGTTAACAGTGCTGAAAATTTGTCGGCAGCCGATTTCGCTGGCATCGGGGAAGATGCTATGCTGGAGACCGCCAAACGGAAAGTGCGCATTGTTCTGAATTCGTTTGATGTAGGATCGGTGCCGTGCTTGAAGATGCGGTTCACCACGAAAAACTCAGCCAGTTCTGAACCGCCTTTGTTATCGTTTTTGAAGGTTTGGGAGACGTGTTAATGATTCCATTTTCACATCATTTATGCGTTTTGTGCGTTTTTGCAGATTCAGTTATCAGAAGCCATTGGTCTGCAAGATCGTTCTCTAATTGCCCAACTTCACGAAGCTATTCGCTGTGTAAAAGCGTTAGATAGCAAAGGGTTAGTGCGTTCTCATGAACTGTTCACCATTTACGATTTACTTACTTTGCCGTACTTAACAGAACTCGGAAGTTGATTGAATTAGTCAAAGCCGACTACCGCAACCGAGAAATCTATACAGCGTATTTGATTCGCAGCAGAAAGAGTCTTCTGAATAGTTTACAACATATTGATAACCTGTCTTGGAGAACTAGAAGGTGAAACTCATGTTTGGCATTGGCAGCTAAATTCATTTCAGTACTAAATGAATTTCTTGTGTCTTTAGGGACAGTGATGTATGTTGCAAATATTTTCTTTCGGTTTGTATAAGCCAGTTTCTGGAAAAACGTGAACGCGATATCTTGAATTTTGTACGGGAATTTCAAAAGGCCACCGTATATGATGAAAAAACTGCTCTTATGGAGTCCTTCCTAATGCATCTTCACAGTCAAATGGACAGGGAGTCGCTCTGGCGAGGTTTGTATAAATGTTGCTAGCTTGGAACTGCTTCCATTATGTCAATGAAGTAATTTTTGTGCGCACACTTTTTAGCTTGCTCGGAACACCAGACTACCGATGCTCAAGAAACGCTAGAAAGACAGATTATTAGCCGTGTATACCAGAGTGCCTTTTATCCCAACGACGAAGTTGACCGTGCACGAGATGAAGTGCTGGAAGAGCATATCCGCAAATTGGCCACCATATTAACTCCTGATCACAAGGATCTGAAAATTTCTAAGGTACCAGAAGTGGTGTTATCTAAATTAAGTCATCCCTTAAAGCTATATCTAACTTTACAACGTTTTCACTTTAGTAAACGTTCCTTATTGTTTTTGGGTAAAACGTTTTATTACAAAACTGAGTGATATACAGTATTTATTGTTTCTCAGTAATCATGTTGCGTGTTAGTGACGTTTACCCGATTATGGTTATTATAAGTCAGTATCCGCACATTCTACTTCTTCAGGTTTTCCATCTGGAATGCCCTTGGCCTTCTGCGCAAGCCGAAATTGCCGAGATCAATGCGTACAAAACTCCGAAGGATAAAGTCCAGTGCGTTCTTCGGTGCTCAACAATTCTGATGAATTTGTTGAGTCTGGCTTCGGACAGTTCAGTTCCCGCTGCCGATGATTTCATGCCGGCGTTGGTGTACGTTTTAATTCGCGCCAATCCGCCAAGCCTTCTCTCCACCGTCCAATATGTAAACAATTTCTATGGAAATCGGCTAGCCGGAGAAGAGTCCTACTGGTGGACACAGTTTGCTTCGGCTATCGAATATACGAAAAATATGGACTACGAAAGTGCCGATGTCCCGGCACGGAAGCGTCATGATTTTCTCTAAAGCCCGAAACATGGTTTGGTGATGGTGGTTTCTATCTTTAAGGTTTTTGTGTTGATAGTTTGCCGTTGTTCAAAAATTCACTGTAATCAAGGTTTTTTCTGTTATTAAAACAAGCGATTTTATCCCTGCACTTGCTTCTGGTTCTCACAATGTCGTATAAATCGTTACAAAAATTTGCACAAGAATTGACTGATGCGTTCGGACAAGGCGCATCCTCATTGCGCAGTTTAACGTTCTTCTTCTAAAAGAGCATAAAGTCCACAATTTGCGAGAGAGCAAAATTACAGCAAATATATATGCCACTACACCACAACACACCAGTGCACAATGTGCGCTTCGCTGACAGAGTTGTGTACTGTACAAGGAAACCAGATGTGATTGATTGACGGAGCATGTTCGGCAGTGAAAAGCCAAATGCATCATTAACATGGCACCGTTACTGTAATCTTCGTTCGTATTTTTTGTGCTAACGATGATTGGAGAGATTTCGTGAAAAGTTTCGTGGATACTCTTTGTAATACGATGAATTTATTAAATTCTATGAAGATAGTAGCCTTCTTACTCGTGTGAAATTAAAATCATTCCTGTTGGATGAGTTTCGCGCATATACCATTGGACTGTAGTCGAACTTTGGACGCCAACCCATTCAGCTGGCCTTGTTGCGGGTCTGCAGACGAGTTTACTCGTGCGGCACTACTGACTACGTTCGTGTTCTTATTTGGGTTCTTGGTCTTTTACCGTCCTGCTGGAAATTCACGGCATACCGTTGCTATCAGCCGATTCCGTATGCGTTTATTTGCACATAAGCCTGTGGTACCGTGGTGCCGTAACATTCTGGGACTTCTCTCTCCGCTACCGTAGAGTTTTTCTTTGAAACGCTGAAAACTACTCCTTTTTCCACGTAAGTCACAACTGTTCTTTCGTGGTTAATCAGATGTTCGGAGTTTACTGATGAGTAATAACATTACGTTTGTCATTTAATTGGCAGTACTTCGTATTTGAATAAAGTTCAGAGCTTTAACAGTTTTATAAAGCTGAAAACTAGGATGTTTTGCAGAAAAGCCTAGAGGGGGCAAATGCTCCGTGCAAAGGACAATAAACTTCCATTATTATTATTATTAAAACTGAAAACTAGGATGTTTTGCTTTGGTGGCTGCATGTAAATTAGCAAGTATTAAATAAGAAAACTTATAAAAGTACGGAATCTGGATTTCTAGATGATCAGTAGTCAGCTGAATTATTGTTGTCTTTTTGGATAATGTAGGTCGCGTTTATTTTGTTAGATGTTTTCCTTTTTCGAGTCACTTCGCAAAATTATTCCATATATGTATGATAATTTATTCAATTTTTAAATTAAGATTGGATATTGAATCCGTGATTCTCGCTTTCGTGTTTTAAAAGCTGGAAAAAATTGTACGGGAATTTTGTTTGCAGGCTGTTGTGAAATCACTTTGTTATCGATAAGACGTTTTGCCTTTCGGATATTGTTATATCGGAATAATTGGATGTTCCACGATGTCGCTGTGGGAGAAAACTCAGCGATTGCAGGGAGATGCCCTGGAACAGCTGCGTGCCATTTATTCCCAGTGCTTGCCCATTGAAGTTCGTCATTATTGCGCGGAGTGGATTGAAGCTCAGCAATGGTAATTACTCACTTGCTACGTAGTTCGAAGTACTGTAACCCTGTTGTTCAATAAATGCAACAGTACTGTACTGTAGTATTGCAGTTAAATTAATAATAACTGGTTTATTGTCCTTTGCTACGAGGCTTCGCCTCCTTTTAAGCTAAGACAGAAAATTCTAAATAAGTAGAGAAAACAAAAAGCGTGATATCATGACAGCAACCAAGGATGCGAATTTAAGAGCTTATGGTGCACTAATTAAGGAAAACAAAAGTACAAGCATCGAAACTACGTATTCGTACGATTTGAAATTCAACGAGTTATGTGACAAAAGCTAAAAAATTTAAGTATCTTTAACAAACAAAGGATGTTTCTTAATCCATGCAAGGTCGTCCCAGTCAACCCGATCCAATTCAGCCTGGAACGTGGATGCTGACTGATAGGATTCCACAGGAAAAGACAGTTCGTTCCACAGGGTAGTCAGTTCGTTTAGGTGCGATCCATGGACGGCGGTCACCGTTGTACCGCAAATAGACGTTGGTGCCGGTGATATCGGAAATGGATGCTGAGTCAACCGAACGTGATGCCGAGTGTTACCTGCAATAGATTCAAGGGCAGCAACTGAACTAACAAAAGGAATAATGCAAAGGTCACCTAAAGGCACTTTGCCAAACTTCAGTTTGTAAATAAAAATCAGCGCTTTCTTAATGCGACGTAATTTTAAACTATCCCACTGCAGCTCTTTCAGACGTGCTTCGTAGTTTGCCAGGTCATTTCCTAGTTGCAAGGTTTTCGTAAAACGTTTTTGGCACTTTTCTACCGTATCGCTGGACGTTTTTAGCACTGGGTGAACGCAGGAGGCACAGTAGTCGATCACTGATAAAACCAAAGCTTCGAATAATTTAATTCTTGCACCTGAATGAAAGTATTTAAATAGCCGATTTATGTAACTTAATCTACTGTTACATTTCAGCAAAAGTTTCTCACTGTTTACCTTCCAGGAAAGTTTTCGATCTACAAAAACGCCTAAGTACTTTACCGACTTGCTTGTTGGTATATTTAAGCCGTTAATATAGTAAGTGTTAGAGGTCTGAATGTTCCGTTTGGCGGAAAAACAAACATGAACAGATTTTGCTGCGTTGAGATAAAGGCAGTTACCGTTGAGCCAATCATTTACGCACGAAACATCTTCCTGCAGCAGTACGGGATCACTATCTTTCGTAACAGGGCGAAGGATGACAATATCATCAGCAAATAAATACACTTTGCTGCCGTTTTTAACACAGACAGAATAAAATTAAGAACACAAATAAACAGGAGAGGGCCTAAAACAGACCCTTGAGGAACACCGCTGATAACGGACAGCGTGTCGGACACTGCATCTTCGACTGTTACACACTGTAGTCGCCGCTTCAGATAGTCATAAATCAGATGTACGATTTGGCTAGGTAAATTTAATTTTACAAGGGCCTTAACAATTGACTCGTGCGACAGTTTATCAAACGCCTTCGAGCAATCAAGAAAAATTGCGTCTACTTCAAATCCGTTTGAAATAAAATCAGAAATTTCTTTAGTAAAAATAAACAGCTGAAGCTCAGTGGACATTTTTTTGCGGTAAGCGAACTGGTGATTTAGTAGCGCTTTGTTGCATTCGAAAAATTCACGGATCAGCTGGTCTAAGCATCGCTCAAAAACTTTTGACACAGGATGGAGCATGGATATAGGCCGGTAGCTTGCCGGCAGCTGAGGGTCAGACGACGACTTGGGGACGGGAGTTATGAATGACTGTTTCCAAACGTCAGGAAACACTCCTTCGTTTAGCGCGGCCTCAAAAATCAGTTTAAGAGGCTTTGTGATGGAATTTCTAGCAGTAATTAATAGCAAATTGTTAATGATGAATTTACCGCTAGATGTTTTTGCTGATAATTTTGCTAATTGCTCGAGCACCAGTAGTTCAGTTATTTCCCAGATATCATTGTTACCGCAGATTATACTAGAACCAGAATCGTTGCAGTGAGCATTGCAAACAGACTGGGAGTCCCTGTACTGCTCATTCAAAACATTCGCTTTGTCAAGTTCAGTGACAGCTGTGCAGCCATCAGGCTTTTTCAACGGGGGCATGCTACTTCGATTTGAGGTCGACTTTACATATTTCCAAAATTTAGCCGGGTTATTGCGATGCGAATACGCAATATCAGTAAGCTTTAACGTCTCAAATTGTTTAATTAAACTTTCACACTTTTTAGAAACCGCCTTCAATTTTGCTTTACACGCTTCTTTTAGTGAAGACTTAGATTTGCGATAAGCACGAAAAGCTCTTTCACGAGATTTGATCACTTTTCGTATGCGAATGGGATATCTGGTCGCACTTGTCCGAGTAACTACAGTACGGTATTCAAAATACAAATTTGCGGCTTCAAGAAAAATTCTTTCAAAGGTCACTGCTCGATCATTGCAGTCGCATTTCTGGAAAACAGACAACCAATCGGTGTTCTTAAGGTGATTTTGAAAGTTGTTAACGTTATTTTTATTTATTATCCACCGCTTAACCTTTCTGCGTTTTCTTTTAATTTTACATGTTTTCAGCAAAAATTGAAAACCCACATGATCATTGGTTACAGAAGGCGGACTTATTGGCGCTGCTGCTTCAAATTCACTTTTACGACTTAACATGCACAGATCGAGACAGTTCGCTTTTCTGGTTGGAAAATTAATGATTTGTAGAAACCGAAACTCTTTCACAGCACCTAACAATTCGCAACCAGCAGAAGTTTTTGCATTTTTCTTACGCCAGTCAATATCCGGTAGGTTAAAATCACCAATTATCACACTTTTAGCAAGCAATTTAAGTGAAAGCTTATTGCGTAAGTGTTTTATAAGCTCGGGCACGGCTTGCTGACATTTATCAGGTGAACTGTAGAATACAATGAATAGCCGATTTAAAAGTTTAGATTCAACAAAGAGAGCTTCCAGAAAAGGAACTTCTAGATCCGTGCGCTGAAAAGCTTTATAACTAGCACGAATGACAAGTGCAACACCACCACCAATCTCACCGACTCTTGGTTTACGAAAGACGTTAAAAGTATTTAGGTCAGCAAAAAGGCAATCTTGCTTATCGGTAGAATCCTTTTCCCATGTTTCAGTTATAGCAGTTATATCCGCTTCAGAACAAAAGTGTTTAACTTGGTCAAGTTTACAGTTGACACTGTTCGCGTTACAATACCGGATTCTGACTGAATGAAAATTCTTCATACGTTTAGCTACAGAAGGCGTATTTGAGCTAATAACGGTCTTGTTCAAATTGCTTAACAGCGTATCCGGAAAGGCTCTAGGAATTTCATGTTCGGAAAAGATAACATTATTATTATCTTTACGCATCTTATTTTCGGGTAACGTTGCTAGTTTTTTCGCAGATTTTGACTGTAAAAATATTTTGAATTTTTCAATCGCTGATAAACACGACAGTACTCATGACCATAGGCAGAATGATGATTTTCTTGGGAGTAGATGCCTTCGTCATAACAGTTAGCACACACACACTTGAAATCATTGTTTTCTTTACATTCGGAAGAAAGATGACACCCAGCACAAAAACCGCAGCGAGAATTGTTTTTACACTTTGCTTTAGTATGCCCAAATTCGCAGCATTTTCCACATTGAGGCACGTAAAAATGATCTTCTACCGGGCAAAGAGACCACTGAATCATTACCGATTTTTTGCATAAAAGCATATCGCGAATTTTCTGATCAACTTCAAGAACAACTGCGCAGGTCGATACTTCTTCCCTGTGGCTACTCAATCTAGTAATCACTCGAAGCACAGAATCAGCTGAAAGGTCATGCTTCCTGCGTAACTCAGTTAGGATGTTATCATTTGATAATGTTTTCGGTACTCTTCGTATAATGATACGGGACAATTTTGGCTTACTATTAGTTTTTCACCAGCCATTATTATTTTATTTATCATTGGTTAGTTTTTCACCAGCCATTATTATTTTATTTATCATTTTCTTACTTTAGCTTTCCAAGTCGAATTTTTTCTTTCGATTCAAGAAATAGGTTGTATAAGTTTCTGTGTATAAAATTATTACTGTAGTTATTACAGTGTGTAACTAGTTAAACCATTCCCCAACTAAATTTTGGCTCACAATCAGGTACGAATTTGAAGTTTACAGTGAACTGTAGGATTGTTATAGGGAAGGTATCGATGCGTACAACAACCTGTACGAAAAGATGGCTATGGGACTGTTGGAGAACTTGTTGAAAGAAGTAGAAACAAAAGCGAAAAGTTTAACGCCGAATGATTTGGTCACTAAGATGAAGTTGGAAGAAACTGTAACATACCTGCGAGGTCATTATTTCCGGACCCCGCTGCATTTTGTGCAGAACATTCGTACGATGTTGGAAACTGAGAAGCACCTTGTGGAATTGGCTGAAAATGTACGTTTTATTATGATATTTTTATATTACTTCACTGCGTATGGTTCTTCTAGTCCGAAGATTTATTTTTTTAGAGAAGTAGCGGGAATAGCGGTACGGATGAAATTTCGTCGGTTCCTGAAAACCCGGAACGCTCACAACCGGATTCCCAGTTAAACAGGTACGAAGCTGTCAGCAAGTACGAAGCCACTTTGGCATATTTAGTTTATTTGATGATATTATGGTTTAAAGTATTTTTGTTTAACAATACTCAAATTTCAGTGTATCTGCGAGTCGTGCTTACTACATACAGTACAGTGGTATGAGGTTGTGCCTTCAACTCCCTTATAAAATATTTCTTGGCTATTACGGATAAAGTTGCGTGAAGGCAATCATGTGCCATTCACAGTGACGTTTGTTTTGTAGTGACTTGGAAAACGTGAGGCTGAGTGAAGATCTTGTTGAAAAGGTGAAAGTCTGCAGTGAGGGTAGGGACAATGCCGGGCTAACTTCCGCAGTTGAAGATCTGCTTCGACGCAGAGTCCACCTGAATTCGAACCAGCAAAGTACAGTCGCTGAAGCTTTTGCTAATACGGTAGAGAGACTGCGCTCTCGCTGGAGGATCTTGTCAGCCACTGAACGGTTTGCTGAAGAATTTTCCACTACGGAAAATGTGAAAAAAATAAAGAACTTTAGGACTTTTGTTGAAAACGAGCTGTTGGAGATCTTGAGAACTGTCTCGGTAATTGCCTGTTTTCTTGAAATGCCTGTAAAAGATCATTGACAAATGTTGTTGCAGGATATCACTGAGGAATGCGAAGTGGACCTGGAGAAGCCATCCGGATATTGGGCAGTCATTGAAGCGCTCTTAAATAGTGCCTTAACGGAAATTGCTGCAACATCTGAAACCGCGAGTGAGTTGTTTGCGTTTTTGCTGCAACTGCTCTTATCACTTCTTCTGTATTCTGCGGCAGCTATTCAATTATCAAGAAGAAAAATGAGCACGCCGGACACTGGTGCGGACAGCGGTTTGGGGTCTAGTGCAGCATCATCAGGGAGCAAAGTTGAACCTTCGGTTGCTGGCAAAGATTTAGTTGATGTATCTGGTGAGCAGTGACCTGTGCATAGTTGTAATAACCACCCGTTGAACCTCACTGCTCTTATCACTTCTCCTCTCTTCTCTTCTTATCCTCACTGCTCTGCTAACTGCTCTTATCACTTCTTCTGTATTCTGCGGCAGCTATTCAATTATCAAGAAGAAAAATGAGCACGCCGGACACTGGTGCGGACAGCGGTTTGGGGTCTAGTGCAGCATCATCAGGGAGCAAAGTTGAACCTTCGGTTGCTGGCAAAGATTTAGTTGATGTATCTGGTGAGCAGTGACCTGTGCATAGTTGTAATAATATTTGTAATAACCACCCTCTTTTCGCTCTTACTCGCTTATCGATTTATTGTTTGCTATAGAATTACGTAAGTATAATTTCAAATTAACTTCAGCTCTTCATTTACGAATCTCTACCAATTTGCCTGTGCAGTAATGTCAGAAGTTTGTAATTAACCGTGAAGTACATAGTGAAAGTCTTGTGCATTACCGGTTGTCTCGGTTAAATGATTTGAATATTTGTTTGTTCTTTGCAGAATTTTACGCATTACCAAAGTTAGTGCGCGATTCCGTAGTTAGCTTGGACATAATGGCGGAGGAAATCGTTCCATCGAATTTGCCAATTGTAATGGGCAAATATGAAGATTACGACAAAACGGAGTTTTTTTTTGACAATCATGAGAGCTGTGGAAAAGCATTCGTGCATTTTGGATATGTGGTTTATATTGGGCATTACGGGAAATGCCACGGCAGGGCGGCTGGGGGAGTTATCCGTTGTGTACTTAAAGCAATTGAAAAGGTTTACGGAGTGAACAAGGTCGACTTTCAGGGTAATTCCAGGAATGCGGTGGTGAACCGCGTTGGGTGCGGGTACAAGTTTAATAAGGAGCATGACGGAGCTATCGTTTCATTTAATTCTTACAAGGAGTTGGTTGTCGCAGAGGTTTCCCATAGAAATGAGTCACTTAATGTACTGTTTTCCGAGGCGAGCGCTTGGCTCGGGCCAAATGATGGCATCCACGTGCAGTATTGTATCTGCGTGAAGATCAGCAATGGCTCGAGTGGAGAACGCTTCCGGGCGCGCATCTTTATTTTCAAACGATGTCCGTCCCCGCAGAACAAGCCACTCGGATCCGCTGCTGGCCTTATAAAATGCCACGGCAAGGAAGCCGCAGCGCTCCTGGATGATGATCTCAAGTCGGCAGACGTTTCAAAATTCTCCAAAGAGCAGATCCTGGAAGATTATGATATCGAATTAGTCGAGCAATTTGTCGTTACCGAAGACAACTTGGATGAGGTGTTTTCGTTTGATTTACGACTGGAATTACCTAATGTTGAGCTGCAGACTGCTACTGTAATGTTAGACTTTTTCAGAGGTGTTTATGAAGCATGGTTGTCTATGCGAGCGGGTTAGTGTAGAATGTACTAAATTAACCGACATGACTAAGGGCATTTAAGTGATTGAACGTAAGGGCAGTGAAGTGATTAAACCGACAATATGACTAAGCTCAGTATTAATTGAACAGCAGTCAGCACATTCACCGTTTTTTACAGTTTCGGAGAAAAGACTTCTGTCCATTAATTTCTCCCGCGCACCTCAAATGCTAGCTCTCAGTTGTAAATCGTTAGGTTTTAGCATTTTTGAATCAGTTTATTCCGTTTGCTTTGCCTATATTTTTATCTTCCGATGAATAAGTTGTAAGTTGTTGAAATGATAATTGAAATCCAGATAGATGCCAATAGTAATCCCCCGTCGGTGAATAATTCGTCCTTCACTTATTGCTGTATTGCACAAAAGAATCTCCACGAAGCGAAATTATATTATCTTGTATCGTTCTGCATAGTTACTATTTCCCAAGGTCGTTTTGAAATGGGTTCGACAATTCATGATTCACAATGATATTGCATGTTGTTGATTTATATTGGATTTATATTGTTTTTTTCCTAGGCTACAAGGAGGCTTCGTACGGAGAATGTTTGAAAGTTGTACGCCAAAATCCAGAATTATTAGCTGAGTGTTTAGTGCGATGCGAAAAATTGGACCATGAAAAAGTTCAAGAAGCGCTGAGAATTATTCTGGGCAGCTTATGCGGTTACGGGCTGATACCAGAAGACCAAGAATATTCGCTCAAATTATTGAAATCCCTGATCGAAATCCAGTTGGATGCCAACAGTAATCCCCGTCGGTTGTTGAAAAATTCTTCCTTCACTTATTGCTACAAAATTTTCGTGGAAAATCTCCACGAAGCAAAATTATATTTAGCTGCCGCGCTGCATCAGCCAATTTTACAAGTTCTTGCCGAAGACGATCACTTTCTTGATTTTGATGCTGGAAAGTTATCGTATCGAATACCAGCGGAGGAGAAAAGGAGGAAATTCGGGAAAGAAGGGACGCCGCGATTTGAACAGAATTTCAAGAATTATCGAGCTGTGATGATCCAGAGATTGGTGAGATGTTTGTGTTTTGAGTCAGGCTTATTCACACGCATGACAACGTATGGGATTTGTAGGTGCGACTGGTGAAGCGATTCATACAAGGGCTACAAACCAGTTTGTTTTGTTTTCCTCCGAGCCTATGCTGGATCATCAGCCAGGTGTACGAGCGGATACAGAGCCAGCAAGCAGCGCAGTCCACCCTGCCGGCCATTGTCTGCACCGATCTTGTGTTCTCGCACTTCATTTGCCCGGCAATTATCCAGCTCCCGTAAATAGAGCTTCGGTTATCCCGTAAATAGACCTTTCCACAATTCCACGGAGGAGACAAAAGAGGAAGATCCCACTGCTAATCTGCCACTGAATGTGTTTTTACCGATACCGAATGACGTAGACACGGCATTTCCAACGTCCGTGCCGAGCAGTTGTTCCTCTTTCAGCAACCTGACCGGCTTTTCCAATTACGGATCGGATCAGAGTATGACAAAAATGGCTGGTAAGCTTACGTTTGCTTTTCAAAGATTTCAAAAGGCCACCGTATATGATGAAAAAACTGCTCTTATGGAGTCCTTCCTAATGCATCTTCACAGTCAAATGGACAGGGAGTCGCTCTGGCGAGGTTTGTATAAATGTTGCTAGCTTGGAACTGCTTCCATTATGTCAATGAAGTAATTTTTGTGCGCACACTTTTTAGCTTGCTCGGAACACCAGACTACCGATGCTCAAGAAACGCTAGAAAGACAGATTATTAGCCGTGTATACCAGAGCCTTTTATCCCAACGACGAAGTTGACCGTGCACGAGATGAAGTGCTGGAAGAGCATATCCGCAAATTGGCCACCATATTAACTCCTGATCACAAGGATCTGAAAATTTCTAAGGTAACAGAAGTGGTGTTATCTAAATTAAGTCATCCCTTGAAGCTATATCTAACTTTACAAACGTTTTCGCTTTAGAAAACGTTCCTTATTGTTTTTGAGTAAAACGTTGTATAATAACTTGTATTACATATTGAGTGACATACAGTATTTACGGTTCCTTAGTAATCATGTTGCGTGTTAGTGACGTTTACGCGATTATATGATTATTATAAGTCAGTATCCGCACATTCTACTTCTTCAGGTTTTCCATCTGGAATGCCCTTGGCCTTCTGCGCAAGCCGAAATTGCCGAGATCAATGCATACAAAACTCCGAAGGATAAAGTCCAGTGCGTTCTTTGGTGCTCAACAATTCTGATGAATTTGTTGAGTCTGGCATCGGACAGTTCAGTTCCCGCTGCCGATGATTTCATGCCGGCGTTGGTGTACGTTTTGATTCGCGCCAATCCGCCAAGCCTTTTATCCACCGTCCAATATGTAAACAATTTCTACGGAAATCGGTTAGCCGGAGAAGAGTCCTACTGGTGGACACAGTTTGCTTCGGCTATCGAATATACGAAAAATATGGACTACGAAAGTGCCGATGTCCCGGCACGGAAGCGTCATGATTTTCTCTAAAGCCCGAAACATGGTTTGGTGATGGTGGTTTCTATCTTTAAGGTTTGTGTTGATAGTTTGCCGTTGTTCAAAAGTTCACTGTAATCAAGGTTTTTCTGTTATTAAAGCAAACGATTTTATCACTGCATTTGCTTCTGATTGGAACGCAGTTCTCACGATGTCGTACAAATCGTTACGAATATTACTGTACAAGCCGAGCACGGATGAATATTGGCTGATGACTAAAAGAATCAAGTAATTCCAAGGATGTGTTGAATTCTAGTTGCTTACAAACTGTCAAAATATTGCGAAACCTGTACGTGTATTTAGCAATAATTATTTTGACACGCTGTAGTGATTTTACATAAGTTAATCGAAACATATACTCTGCATAAGTTGCGGTTTGCGCTGTCGGCTGATACTGCCATTTTATCATGAATATTTTACTTTGCATTGTGCTTTAACGCGAAGTGGCTAGCAACTCGGTCCTTCTGCGGAAACGGGCATACCATCGACGCGCTACACTTTTAGACAAAACCGTAGCATATGACACATAAAGAAATGATTTTTGTACTTTAAAATGGGTTCAGTAATGGTAACGCATTTGTTGTTGCTGAGGAATTAGCTTTTAAAGTGAAAAATTTGAAGTCGATTTTCACAGAGTACAGAGGTGAAAAAAATATTCTGAAACGGCCATTTTATACAGTGAAGTATTAGAAACTTATTATACGGACAGAATTTTGATTGATGAAAAACAGAAAAAGAAAAAAAATCGGGGGTGCCAAAGAAGTGCCTGGGGCACTCTACCCCTGGATAGTTCTGACCATATCTGCCGAACAAAACCTTAAACAGAGATTCTGTCCGTATAATAAGCTCGGGCTGCGGTACTTTATTTAATGCGATTTTATTCGTAATTTTTGGCAAACAAATGTATTTATTCACAGCCGATTTTCAAAGTTTTTTTACGTTTTGTTCACTGTTAGCTTGCAAAAGTACACCTCTTTCATGGCTTTGGTGCCGGTACCGAGAGGTGATGGCTGCCGCACACAAAAGCACATACACATTGAGCAACGCAGAACAAGCAGGCAGCCATATACTGTAACATTCCTGCAGACTGTTGCAGTCATAGTCACTAAAACAAAAGACTGCAATCAGACGGCAGATTTGCGTTTATGGCGTCTTTTGTTCCTCTTTCTTGTCAACAAGCTCAACAAAGCTGGATGGGGCAGTTGCAGATTTTGATCGCACCTGATTGCGATTACTTCAATGCCAACCACTGATGTCGGGGGCGATTGCAGGAATATGCCATCACTCACAATAAGTGCGGCGCAACCCATTATTTTGCGGTTCACCTTACGTGCCCCCCTCTACCACTAGTACAACTTTAATTTTTTGCGTGTTAACGAAAAAAGATATACTCATTACAATTGTTGCGTTATGTAGTATAAAAAAAGCTCTGTAAGATGAGCTAAGGTAATTTTTGGGAATTATTTTGAAAATTCGCTAGCCACTTCGCGTTAAGTATTGTTGAGTAGGAGCACAGATATTTCTACTGCTCTGGGTCAATTTTTGTGTAGAACAGTATGCATTTCTTATCGCGTCCATGGTAACAAGCTTATGGCTGACCACTGGACCCAGCCAAATGATTTTGGCAAAAGGTTAACCATCTTAGATCCACCGCTGCGCTGCGAGAATTCTTATGCACTTTAAAGTAGCAAATTTGGTGAAGTAGAAGCCGAGATCATTTGCCTCAAAGGAGAGGGGCCGAGGTTCTGGCACAGATGATTAGTATTCATATAACCAGTTTGCGGGATCTACATCCGTACGTATTGTCGCAGCGTACTTTAGTTTCGAAGGTTTCGAAATTTTTTAGTTAATGCAATATACGAATCTTCTGCATTCACAAAGTTTTTTAAGCGTAAGAATTGTAAGACGCCTAAGAAACCTAAGCAACCTAAAAAAACATAAGAAAACCAAAGAAACCTAAGAAACATAAGAAACCTAAGAAACATAAGAAAACCTAAGAAAACTTAAGAGACCTAAGAAACCTAAGAAAAATAAGAAACCTAAGAAACCTACGAAATCTACGAAAGCAAGAAAGTTAAGAAAAGCAAAGAATACAGATTACGCTAATCGCCAGTTTGATCACCATTATTTATTTGTCGCACTTTTCCGATTTTTTAATTTTTTTCGCCGAAGCGATGCCGAAGGCCGAGGGCCGCCTCTGTCGCTGCGACTGTGCAGATTATTAGCCTACGTCCGTCTATGGGGGCCCATGGCAACAATTTGTTTTTTGGGGCCTTTGTTTCCCCGTTGGGGCGCATCGGTTTTGCATTAGCGTAACATTACCGGCGTCGTTGCGACGATTCTGGAGCACTTTACTGCGTCAAATTCGGCTCAGTCGTTCGGCCAATCATTCGGAACAAAGCATACTCGTGTATAAGATGTTACGGATGTAGATAACCAGTTTACGGGATCTACATCCGTACATGACTTTTGTGCCGCTTCTTAGTTTCGAACTTTCGCCCTACCTTAATTCCGGCCGCTCAAGAAAACTGAAAGTATAACAAATCTGAGGAAACCTAAGTAACATAAGAAAATTTTAAGAATTCTCAGAAACATAAGAAACCTACGAGAACTAAGAAGCCCAAGAAAACAAAGAAACCTAAGAAACCTAAGAAACCTAAGAAACCTAAGAAACCTAAGAAACCTAAGAAATCTAAGAATCCGAAGACATCTAAGAAAGCTTAGTTAACAGAACCTGAGATGATTAGGTATTTTGAAACGCCAGGTTCATAATGGTATTTTGTTGCGCATTTACAATTTTTGCATGAATTGTTAGCGAAGCGAGGCCGAAAGGCGCGATTTGTCTTTGTCGCTCTGCGTTAGCTCATGTATGTCTATGGAGGCCCATAGCAACAAGTCGTTTTTTTGGGGGCTGTCTTGCCCTCTTGAGGCGCACAATATTCGCAGTGTTCCTATGTCACTCGCGACGTTGCGACGATTCCGGCGCACTTTACCGCGTCAAAATCGGACCATCCGTTCGCCCGATCATCGTGGTCGTCTGCTTAGCATGTATAAGATGTTACGCATGTAGATAACAAGCTGAGCACGGATGAATATTAGCTTACGACTAGGTACTGTAAATAAGTGAG